GTACCTTCAGCCTGGATTGAGGCTGGTGAGGGTTAATCGACTTTCCAGCACGCCGTTCCACTTCTTTCCTAAAAGTTTTTTTCTTTGTGGCTTCCGCAATCTTTAATTATACATTCAGAAGAGATCTCATTACGACACGTCGCGAAAGAAAATGATTAATTGGAAACAACTAGCGTAGGTGCATATATTATGAGATACACCCGTGACCCATTATACTCGTTACATCGATTGAATTTCGCGCAAACGCACACGAAGGATGCAAGTAGTTAGATAAATACAAACATTAACAAGTAGATCTAAATTTCCTCGTTAAACTTATCCCTAATTTCCAAGTATATATACATACTATATATGTATGTCTATATATCGGTTTTACGTAATATAAACAATATATATAAATTAATTCAAATTGCTCTGACATTTCATAATGAAATAATAACCAGTGATCGATAAAATAAAGCTAACCTCTTTTAAAAGAACGCTATAAGGCGAGAATATGCCTTCGAGAATGTCTCGAGTGAATATGAGAAATACCTTGAGAAAAGCCTGAAAATATTTTTCAAGAAGAAGGGAATATTCTTCTTGAGAATTCATTAGATTAAAAGTTATTTTATGTTGAGAATATTCGAATGTATTGTATGGTATTATTTCGTTTTATTAGAACGAAATTGTACAAGAATGTAATAGAGGTCAACCAAAGGATCGCCGGCCAATTCACCTTTGTACAGAGATATCAGCTGAGGTTAAAGATTGGCGCTTTAAGAAAGAAATATATGTTGGCAGAGAGAGAGAGAGTTGCCACGAAACGGGAAATCAGAGAATTGTTAGGGAAATTGGAGACGGTCAGGAAAATCAAGGAAAAGCAAGGAGACTTTATGAAATTTTCTAGAAAATTAAAATTCTTAACTTTTTAAAAAAGTTTAATATATACCTACGTACATCACATTTACGCGGTTTTGGAATACCAATTTCACAACTAAAAATGCAAGCAGTGGCAGCAATATTAATGGTAATTTACATTGTAACGGCTTCCAAATTAGAGGATGAAAAAATAAAAAATTTCAAAATATTATTGAACGTAAAGGAAAATCATGAAATTTTGTGAGGGAAAAAGTTATGGAATTTTAAGATGAGCTTGTGACGATCCTGCGGTTGGTCATCCGACAGAACTTGAGTCGACACCTTGATAAGGGCACGATAAGATATCGCGTTCGCATATGTATGCCGCGTAAATATTGCCTCTAATACTGGCCTGGTCTATAAATAACACATACATATGATGCACGTTACCGGTTTTTCCACCCCGTTTACCCTTCCTCCTATCCATCGTCACGCCGGTTGCTATCGTTCTGCATCCACTTGCACAACACGGCGGCATCGTCGCCGAAGGAAACTGCTGCAGGATGAAAAGTAAGCGGTGTGTCACGTATATACGCGTGTTCTCCGCACGTGTACGTGCTATACAAAGGCGCGTTTGTACAGGGAACACAGTAGAGGACGAGTTCCTCTAGTGCTTCTGTGTGTATGTGTGCGCGCGCACGCGTGTGTGACACGATACCACGGTCTTGGCACGTATTCATACCCTAGGCGTCCATTGTCTCGAGTTATTCGAAGGTAAAAGATCGCAACTGAAGCGTTAAAGCTGACGTCATTGTTTCACTTTTCTTTCGTCGCGTGCATGCATCTGCCTACGCGCGCGTGCATATAGCACACGTGAGGCGAGCATCCTCCTGTTATACCCGTTGTGTACATCATCGGGCGCCCCGAGCTATCAATTCCGCGTGATGTAACTCCGATGTAACGACGCCTTCGTTTTACAATACTTTGCGCTGTTTTCCGTACACATCGCTCTCGTGTCGTTAACGATGTGACAGACTGTATAATGTAAGTGATGCCGAAGGATCCGGATGTGGCCAAACGTCGGAAACGCTCTTATGTCTCGTTGGAATTAACGCAATTATTCCGAGTATATCGGTATATACTGCGTACGCAGTATTTGCGTTTTACTGAAGAATCTTTTAAGTCAGTTTTATATCGACATTTCTCCGCAATTTTCTCATTGCATATTGGATTTCAATCATAACTAACCGATTGCCAAAGCGTAAACAAACAGCGTGCTGTTTGCGTGAGTTTGATTATTTTTAAGCGAGTGGGAACAAATTCGTTAGGAAGTTTATTTATTAGTTAGATAAAAAGAGTGAGGGAGAAAGGGGAAAAAAGAGGATTAAAAAAGACTTTTGATGTATATATATGTATATGTATACTTGTTAAAAGCAACCTCTCGATTACGGAAGTGGATAAAAGGGCGGGAGTACAGAGTCTTGCATAACGCATAATGCATAAAAAATGAATTAATCAAAGTTCTACATTTCCTTCCTTTTCATGAAATAAAAGACTGATTGGTTGATTTTCTTATGCCTCATGCGTTAGTCTTGAAACACAATAGGTATAGTAAGTCTAATGGGCGTTCTACAATAAGTCTTTATCTAAGCTTTAAGAGACTTAAGAATTGATTAATCAAGTGATTAGTTAATTTTTTACCGAGCTTAATTTAATGACTTATTGTAGGAAACCCATTACACGGAGAAAAGGTTTTTTTAAATCAAACAAATACATTGGAAAAGTCCAACTAAATAAAAGTTTAACTTAAGGATACAATTATTGTCACTAAAATTAAATTTTGTTGACTAAACAAAACATGTTTTGTTTAAAATTAAATTTGTTTCAATGAAACAAATGTAAACAGAAGTCTCGAGTCCAAACAAATCTTTTTTTTTCTATAGGATGGGAGCACAAAGTCTTACACGACGCATAACGTAAAATAAAACGTAAGAAAATGAACTGGTCCTTTCATTTCCTTCTCTTTCATAAAGTAAAAGACTCTGATTAATTCTTATGCTTTATGCGAAATTCAATATGCAAGAATCCGTGTTCCCGTTCTTAAGCCTTAAAAGAAACTAATCAGTCATAGTCGAATATGAGAATAATATAATCGATTATAATTTTTCAATTTTTCAAGAAATTTAAAGCTTACTACACCTATTAGATATATTTAGAGGGGACTTAGGCGTTATACACGAATCTCCTACATAACAGCCGATTCTCTCGGCACCATACATCGTCCGTAACGTTTCTCTTCTGTTGCGTGACATCAGCGTTCGCTCATTCCTGCAACCGACAATTTTATAACAGTGACAAGAATATTTCCGCGGCCGCAAGCGCTCTCTCTTAATTAATCGCGCGCGATGCTTGCGCGTACAAAATAGAAAGACGCGTCTGTCGAGCTGGGAAAAATATCTTGCGAGTAGAGGGAAAAAGTCCTCTATGAACTGTGACCTGCGGATATACGGCTGACCCGCTTCATCATCCCCACGATACACACTCGCCCCAATCCTTTATTGTGTACGTGCTCTGTTATACATTGGATGTTGCCGTCTCTCGTTGCGATGACGGGATTAATCCTAAGGGCAGTTACTCACTCGTGTAGACTCCGACACTCATGTAGACACTGGCATTTATTAGCACAGGTCAATGCTTCAAATCGCTACTGGCACGGCGGAGTTGCGCTCCACTTGCACGTACATTCGCGTACATACGTACGTTCTTATAGACAAGGTCGTTCCGTGACCTATCCATTAGACTGAGTATTAAAAAAAGGAACTGTCAAACCCCGGCGGATTGTAATACACGATCCGTTTTACTTATCCGCGTTAGCTAAATCCGTAATGCGTTTGCAGAATACGACCTTTATAAATAATTGACGGGAAAGTCGATAAGTGCACGCTACAGGTTACAACAAAAGAACATAACGCGCGGTCTAAATTTTCTTTGACGAAAATTCAATTTTAATTCGTACACGTGTGACATATCGAAGGTAATTGCCGCGGGCGTGCGGTTGATTTTACATCGCGCGTAACCTATCCTATATGTCTATTTAAATCTTATTAAGCGTAATCGATCAGAGTAATTATGTGCGTAGACCGATAATTCGCGCTTTAATGCCCGTAAATACATTAGTGCAGGGTGTTTATTACCTAGGAAAACCTGGAATTATTATAGGGGATTTCTTTTCTATTCTTGACAATGAAGGATTTTTATGAAATTTTATCGATACTCGGGGGAAATTTTTAGAATTTTACTTTTAAATGTAAATTGTCTTTTTTTGAAAACGTTATTTCGTTATTATATTTTTTAATGCAAAATGTTGACAATTAGTTAGCAATAAGTACAAACATCTGCGTATATCCGTATATTATACATATATTCTTTTGTGTATCACAAGCTTTTATAAAAGAAATCAGGGTGACAAGCAGAATAGAATAGTTTATTGATACTGTACTGTAGTAAACCTTGCTTATACTGTCCTATATATACAGATTTCGTGGTCCCAATTGTCGAAAATAATGGATCTCAGCAAATATCAACTAATAGTAACATAACTGATAGTTATAATTCTTCCTCAACAATATAACTGTTACATATATATATATATATATGTATTGTATTACAGTTATATTGTTAAGTGAGAGAGAAATTATAATTAACAGTTACGTTACTATATTAGTTGGTGTTTGTTGAGATATAAACTTGTCGAATCTTTATCTTCTATTAATTTCCAATTTATAGTTTGTGTTGCTTGCACTCCAATTATTTCAAATTGTTTTATTTAAAAGATCTCTAATTTTGGAATTTTTAACAAAAATACTTAGAAAATTAGAAATTCTCACAGACTTTTTTTATAAGATTTCAGTAAACCTCCTGTGGTATAAATGATTTGTTTACAGACAGCAAAAACAGTTATATAATTGCATAAAAGGATAATTGACAATAAATCTTCTGCTGATTATAGCAATTTATTTTTGTTTTCCACAAATCCTGTGATATTCAGAATTAGGCTCAGGTTGTTTAAACGTAATAAATATAAATATTGTTATTTATGTGTTTCTCTCTCAAAGACTTGTAACGTATAATCCTGTTGTTTTTTGCTTTTTCTGTTGCAGTGAAGAAGGCGCGCTTCGTCTGCGAGGATGGTTCGTATATGGGAAGAATAGAGAAAATTACGATTGGAAATGAAAATTTCATTTTCATGCATTTTATCCATTGATTTGTTTGCTAATTATTCTTTTCTGATTACCGAACGATATACGAGCGAAATATTAACACGTGTGGAACCGGGCATTCAAAATTGGGATTGAGACAAGCCACGAACCTTTATTCACGCTTTGCTTCTAAAGTCTGCGAACAATTTATTGCACTTTGCGATTGGAATAGTGCCAAGTTTCGGATTATGCGATTGCTCATGCAGAATATCGTGACGTTCCGATTATACCGAAATAATTTTTCCGTGTGGAGATGTGTAACGTATTCCCGTGTGGAGATCGTAGATACCTATATCGAATTTAAATGATACATCGTACATTTGAAAACTTTCTATAATTTTCGAAACTTCTTTAACAGGGCAAAAATAAATCGATAATTTCAATAGCGTCGGAAAAACTTTGAATTTATGTCATTCATCGCATTATTCAATATTTCCTACGATGACGAATGTAATCTTGACAGTCTTTGCTTATGTACTCATATAATGTCTTTTTAAAATATTCATTCGCGTATCACATGTATGTCATTGTACAGAATGGACTTATGAAGACCATTATTTCACGCAATTGTCGCAAGTATTGAAAAGCGTAACAATAATGTCCTCGCTCGCATAGCGAATACACATAAATGTATGTAGTTTTAAGAATTTATTTACACAATGTGTGTTCTGACTATACATTCATTCGTATCGCTCATTTGCTATAACAACGGCATAAAAAATTGTCATTGTTTCTTTGCAGAAAAAGTACTAAAACATGAAAAAAAAGAAGAATATACCACATACTCTTATTTCTCTCTCTATCTCTTTCTCTCTCTCTATACAATCAGTGTTATTAGAAAATTTTTTAATTATATTACATTTTAAAATTTATATTATAAAATTTCAATATTTAAAACATTTAAATTTATTTTCTGAAAAAGCTTATTTTTTGTTGCCGTGTTGTTGCTCTCTAAATCTGAATCAGTAAAGTCCAACTAAAAAAGAAAGAAAGTTTGAGGATTATATATATATATATATATATAATTAAAACATATTTGCTCAACGTTAATTTCAATCTTCTAATACCATATTCAATGAATTTATACATTAAAACTAATTAGATCTTAAGACTAGTTAGATCACATAATAAAGGTTAGCTAGCTAAGTTAAGGATCTTACATTTCATTCACTGAGTGGCATACTTGGCACTGATATCAGTAATTGTCCACTGATTCAGATTTAGAGAGTGCTGCAGCAAATGAGCGATATTAACTTCTCTCCTACTAAGAATACATTTAGTTTTATTAAAATTGATTGCACATTTTTACATTCGCTGTGGTATCTCTCACCTAAAAACGCGAATATCTTGGGGGCTTATTCTCATCACGTAAACGACATTTGACTTGTTCCATATCTGGTAGCTTGTCAGGTCAAGAGAGAGCTGCAAGAGAGTTATTTTCAGTAAGATCTATTTATGCCGCGTCTAATTTTTTATTAATAATTCTCTCTTTTCCGAGCTTAGTGATTGGATGATACTGAGGTGAACCGTGGAACGTGAACGTATTTCGTCAGTCACTTCGGAGACAATTTTCGTGGCTCGTAAAGTAAAATGTCGAGGGTGACGCACTATTGCGCCCGAAACATCGTGTCGCGGGTCGTAAAATCTCGCTCATGATGCTTTTTGCGCGACTTATCGAAGGCGTGCAGTTGAGAGCGTGTACTGGAGGTGCCTAAGGTGTGGGTGGATCTTATTGGAGTTTAACAGTTCGTCCCCCTTCGTGCACCCATTCTTGAACACATAAAACGCGCGAGGATGTCATCAGGATCGCTCTTAAATTGCGAACAAAACGATCTCATTCGTTGATATTACGAGTTTATAGGGGACTAAAATTACGATATTTTTTTTTCTGTCGAAACGTAATTTATCTGCTTTAAACGATTCCATTAAAAATGATAAATGCGACGTACTTTAATCAAGATATTTAATATGTTTCATCGTTATGATTTAATATAACAACGTATTTCGCTCATATATCGAGATATTCGTTCTTGTTACGTAACATCGTATTTTGATCGACTGAAAAAAATAAATCATCGAATTTCAGCGGATCAGTTCAACTCCTATGTAACGTTGAAGCTGCAAAACGTGAAGTCAACGACAGTTACTGTGAAAGGGGCCAATCCATGCTGGGAACAAGACTTCCTCTTGTAAGTTATCGATAATTGATTTTACGCGGAAGTTAGTCGCAGCTTGAAAAAACTGTTAAAAATATTGTTTAGTTAAACGAGCTTCTAACAATTCGAAAATTTTCTGCACCGTTACTATGGCGTTACACATTTCGAAAACATTGCGAACTATCGCGTGCGCACCGGCACTAAAATATCTAGGACAACCGGTAATTTGTGCGCATCTAGAGGAATCTGAGACTAATCATACACTTATTTAACGAGACTCTATCTTAACGAAATGAATTAAGCGAAATAAATTCTGCCCGTCGACCAAATTTACCGAGAAAAACTAAGAATCGTAAATATTTTCAATAAAATGATAGAGGAAAAAAACGTGCTTCTTTTTCATAGCTCGGTATTATTAATCTTTAGCTTAACTCTTTTTATTTGAGACGAGATCCTCGGTTCATTATGGTTTTGTTTTTTGAATGGTTTTTTAAATAGATTATTAAAAAATGTGTAAAGGAAAGCTAAAGTAAAATTGGCTTGCGGATTAAAAAGGATTGTCTTGTTGTATAATGTCGACCGTTACTACATAGAAAGATATATCATTCTTGATCTTGGCTCGCTCACGCAGCATTTGACGCCAGTGAATTCCTCGCCTACAGCCTTGCTGTTAAATTTCGTTTAATCTACTTTGTACTGAAAGCGTAGCTGTTTACTTCATAAAGTAATATTTCTTCGTGATTTCGCAAAAGGTTAATGGAACTTGTTTGTTACGCAGCGAAACGAATGACATGAATGCCGGGCTCGTGGTGGAGGTATGGTGCAAGGGATTCTTGTGGGACCGCTTTCTGGGCTACTACTACATTCCACTATCAGAGGTGTCCTACATGAACGAGGTAACGAGAAATCAGTGCAACTTAAGTCGTACGGCAGAGATACAAGATCGACAATCCGAACAGTCCGATATGTGTGACACCAACAGTAACACACAGCCAGACATCATCACTGACACGGTACACTAACGCAATACATTCGCCCATACACTGCATTATTACACTCGCTCACATTTTGTAACGTCAAAGCAATTAAAATATTCAAAGCGATTGAAAAATTCGATGATACTGCTGTTTGTTGCCTTGCAATGACAATAGCAAATGCTTCTTGCGATTCGTTATAACTCGATACAATGGATGAGACTCGTTTAGCTTCGTTTATTTATTTCTCGTAGCTAAAGTAGAGATCGATTATTTTTAAGGGAATGTCATCGTACGCCGATTACGGTTTACGAGCATTTCTTAAACACTCTCTGCACGTAACGATCTTTCCCAGAATCTGCTCTGCATTTCTTCATCGGATGCGCTTACTTTTCAACTCTTTCTTCGTCAATAGTGCATCTTACACGAAATGCGAGTATTTGCTCATCGAACGGAACCCAAACCAATCACTATTTGGTAGACTCGAGGTCATCCGTTGATTTGGCGGAATAAGCATACGACCAACAATGAAGCTACAAATGCCTGAAAGCGTTCTTTGATTGGTCAATTAGCACATTTTTTTTCTTCCGATTGATCAATCAAATGTTTTAAAGCATTCGTGAAACTTTAATCGTACCTTCAGTGGATTATCCTCGGCAACACATTAATTGTTCAACAAATGTCCATCATAGCTTTCTATTATCGTTGATGTGAAAATTTTATGTGATCTTTTGATTTTCCTCTATAAAGTGCTATAAATTTAGAAACGATGAGTAAGCTATAGAAAACGTGACAATCAATCGACGTCACGTTCGATGCATGATCGACCGTGAGGTCAATTCGACCAACATATTATGTCGCGCGTGTCTAAATTAAATTTGCGAACGTGACGTAACGATGACCTATACCGATCCTATACCAATTGTCGCTTAATTCATTGTATGTTTTTACGAACTCAATCGTGCACAAATATATAGTACTCGAAGATTATGGTGATCAACGATAGCGCTTAATTTACGTCGCTGATGTGAGCAAGCATTTCAGTTGCGATAGCGGAGATGATGATTTACCTCTTCCTCCCCTCCCTCTCTCTCTCTCTCTCTCTCTCTCTCTCTCTCTCTCTCAAATACATTTATGGTGCATATTGCGTTCATAATTAGCGTACATAATTAGATATTAATAGCAGCCACGAGGGACCCAATTTCTCTTATCGTCGCTTCCATCGGGCGTGCTCTCAGGCTCTCGAAACGTAAGTTACCGGAACTTGGGGATGTCGATTCACGTAACACAAATTACATTTCACTTGGCGACTCATACGATAAATTGGTGTCTTGAATCTTCTCCGGTTTGATTTTCGATATGAATATAACAGTTATAGAGATTCGAGAAAAATTAAGATTCTTTTCTTGTACTATTACAGCATGCCTTTTGAGGTTTACGGTCCTATCGAGATTTCTTCCTGCGATTTCGTTTCCTTTATCTTTCTGCCTTCGTTTGTGAAGCACGGTTGACTGCACTTCTGCACGACGACAAAAGTGATTTTCACTAATTAAATTGCCCGAATGCTTCATCTCAAGGTTGCAGGAATGAAGAAATGCAAGGTATTCATTCGGCAAAATCACCCTTTCCCTGGCGAGAATAATAACTCTTTGGAGCGCTTCACGCTCAGTCATTCTTTTAAATGACTAGACAGGACTCATTCATGCGCAATCCGGAAACGAAGAAGCAATTCTTCTTTTCTTTTACCCTTCTTTCTTAGTTGTTATTCAAATTCCCCGAAGAGATCGCCTCGAAGAAATTGTCTTAAAGTTGATTTTCCGTTGTCCTCTTCGTGGCGGAACGTCTCATTATTAGTATCATAAATCGGATTTGAACTTTTTTCTACGAAAAGATATTATCCAATTAAATATGCGGAATAGTTTTCCAAGTCGTTTCATTAAAATTAATATTTTAGTGAAATTATACTTTTTATAATAAGTGCAAATTAAATTTGTGGGAGAGTATTAAAAGAAATGCGGTCAATATATTATACTTATGTGTGTGTATGTATATATATACATATATATATGTGTGTGTACACGTACATACATATACAGCCTCGACAAACAAGTCAAAAAAACGACTGAAGTCAGACCTATACGCTTGTTTGCTTCTTCCACGCGAAATATATCTACAGCATCTTTCGAAAAAACGAACGACTCAAATAAGATTATGCTATAATATAAATATTAAACAATTTTATTATATGTGTGTGAGAACATGGTTTCCATTTTTGCATCCATTGACTAACACTACTCTTCGCGAGTGTCTCTTTCGTCAAGCTGTCTTTTTTTACATCCGAAAGATTACAGTGTTCGACGTCGTGTTTGATCACATAACTTTTCTCTTTCAATAAAAACTCTAGTAGGAAGAATGCAAAGGAAAATTTGCTCTCCGATAAAAGGCAATCTATTTGCTAAAGATTTAAATTCGCATTTCGTACGATCTTTCTACGAACGAGGTCGAAATCACGGCGTCGTTCTCGACCACGACATCGCCATCACTATCGCCAATACCCGTATCCTCATCCGCTCATGACGTCACTTGGCGCACGGCCAAATCTCGACGCTCAATGAAACGTTCAGGGTAGCCGAGTCTTCGAGTGGGCGATGTGGTTTACGTGGGTTTACAACGACACTATGCTGCGTGCACACACATGCAAGCGAGCTTTAGGAAAGGCAACGACCTTGACGAAATATTCAGCTGATTCTCGAGCTTTTTCTTTGCTCGGAAGAAGCCTGATACACGGCGGCATTTACCGAGTGGTGCGAGAAGAGACTTCTCGCGTTAACGATCTCCCATTCACGTTCGCGAAATAAAGTATTTTGCGCGACAATTTTATATTCTTTATACCCGTATCCATTACGTTTTCGCTTTCCCGTGAAATACTACGTTATTCTTCGGTACCGGGAACAGAAGTTGATGACCGTGTGATCTATGATCTGCGACCGCGTGAGCACAAAAGCGAACACAAAAGCGAGCACAAGTCGTCATTTATCCCATGACAAGAGATGTGTTAAGGCATTCTTGCTCGGCAAAGTTCTTCCGCTCGACTTTCTGCTTTAAACCACACGATTGCGGCAACAATGGGTGAATCCACAAATCACGCTGTAAATCGTTCCTCCACGTTTGTGGACGAGCGATCGACGAATCGCGCGTTTCAGTAACGGTGACATTCGCCGGAGATAAAGCGTCGATGTGGAAAAGAAAAAAAGAGATGGTAAATGTATGCGCGTATGTGTGTAAAAAATATAAAAGAAGCGAGGAAGAGACAACGCGTGGGCGCAGAGAGCGAGATTCGGTCGAGAGTGGTTGAAAGATGACGAATGGAAGAGATGATGAAGATGATATGTAACCGCTCGATGATGGTGGCGACGGTGATGATGAGCGAAAAATGCGACGGCGTGAAGTTAAACGAACCTCGAAGTACCAGTGTATGAGATCAGATTGCTTTGCCTTCGTGTTGCAAAGAGAGCTATCTGGGTCAGCCGTGGCTTAAAATATTCATAAAACGGCACGCGAGGTCTAATACGGCCCGATTCGATACGCATTGGAAGTACACCTGCCGAGCTTGAAATAATTTCGGTCTGACGCCCCCGCCAGCATCGGAGACACAGATTGTAATTCGCTACGTACGATGACGTCTTATTGTTTCGTACCCGACAGCGTCGAGTACGCCCGTTCGTTCACGTGCTACTGACAGCATCTCTGTTAACGGACATTTTCGTACAATCTCTTGTCTCTTCTCTTATGTCATGACATCGCCGTCGTCGCGACCAAGTATTACCAACGTAGCAACGAAATTCGACGAAGGTAGAGCACGTGGAAGATTTCCACGTCGACAGGTCTCCTAACGGCTGAATTTCGGTAGCGGATTCAACACCCGCGAACACTCATCTCGTGTCTTGACTTTAATTCACGAGACTCTGATTAATAGCGCGTCGCGAGCGCATTTTGTCCTTCTGGTTTTATACGGCTCTGTCCGAAAGAGAGATGAATTTCCTCGTTCGAATCGGACCTTTGCTCCACAAGCGATTTATTGTTCGTGATTTGCATTTTCATTACCGATTCGAATCTTTTCCTTTGTCCCTCTTCTTTTTTAACTATTTATCTGTGTGCCTGTTTAGCTATCTATTCTATCTCACTGATAGTCGTAATGACGACAACTTAAATCCTTCTCTATCTCAACTTTAACGTACGCCGGAAAATCAATCGATGGCCCGTTTAAGAGGATCCCTGACATTTTCCGCTATAACCCGGACGAGAAAACAAGAACGAGACCATTTACTTAATAGCGGTGGCAGCAGCAAAGAGACCTGAGCCTTTATCAGCTGCTCGTTTAACGTAAGAGAAGTAACATCTGTAACTATATGGTGGCTCAAGAACCGGCTGATGGGAAACGGATCCCTAGGATCATCTTCGTGATCCATGGAGAATTTCAGTCTGATGGACGATTGTACTTTCGGAGATGGCTGGGTATAGGAGAGAAGGATGAGAAAAGAGGAAAACGTCATGGAAGCAAGAAGGAATCGATCGATCGCGCAGGCCATCTATGCTCTTACTTCTTCCTTTCTTTTGGCTCTTCTCCTTGGCTGGTTCTCTCTCTTTCTCTTTTCGAAGTAGTTATCCTAGTCCTGTCAAAATCACGTCACGATCATAGACACGTGGTCGAGTATTCTCGTGTTAGGAACAAAACGAGGGGATACCGTTCAGGGAAGTTAGGACATTTCGGCGGGATGGAGTCGAGTTGTTTGCTGTTTGCTCTTGACTAGTGACTCGTGAGACCTTAGCAGTGGATGTAGTCAACCGCTTTGTTGACCCGAAGAATTGACGAGCGGCAATCGTCGGCAATTCCATTCTGAGAATCGTGCGCGGGAACGGGAAATCAAGCGACCGTGCCGGCCGGGCCGGAGACGGCTTTTATCAGCGAACGAGAGTCTCTCTCCTTGCGTTCTCGTGGGCGGAAAAATCGAAGCATGTACCCATCGACGCGTGGGACACGTTATGTGCGCTGGCACTATCGAATGAACGGCCGTTATGTTCCAACCGTCTGTTTAGTTATATAAACATGCGACGTAATAAAGCGCGACAGAAATAAATCGCTGGTATTAATCCTGTTGCGCGTAGGATTATTTGGCAGGGGTGATTGGATATTAAATAAATTTATTGTCGTAAGCGAGAATGGTTAAAATGTTGTTATTGCTTGCAAAACGATGCCGCGTTTATTACTATTGAAATTCTCGGAAAGGGAGAGGCGCAATGTCATGAAACCTTTTAAACTACAGCTCAGCTAAAGGACAATTAGTATTATTATCCAATGGTATTAACTCTTTCAATTTATTTAAGCGTTAGTTATAGTCATACAATTGTCATGTTTCTCGAAATAATACTCGCCTGTAAATGCAGCCGTCATTTCAAATGGTTTAAGACAAATCGTCGGCCGTCCGTAACAAATGCGCTTGTAAGTAAACGCGCAAACAATGCTGTTAGTGCGTTCAAGTTCTCGTGATGAACATATATACGTATGTCTCGTTTAAACAGGTATATCTGCTATAGTTCAATCTGCCATATTCGCAATTATGTGGCTTGTAGTCCAATATTATCTTGCTTGACTATCAATTCTGTTAAATTCATAATGTCAAATTTTTTATACTCAATTTTAGTTATTTTTAATTACTTCTATAGATTGTCATTATTCTTTCTCAATATGTCATTATATTGTGACACACATAAAATTGGGTTGTCGTGGTTTTTTTTATGTCTAACAGTATATATGATAGGTACGACTTTTATTGGCTGTATTCTGATATACGCAATATTAAAATCTGTAGTTCACACTGTTAAATTTATAATGTCAAATTATGAGTATTAATGTTGTACTCATTTGATATACTTATTTTTAATCATTTTATATATAAGTCGTGGCTGCTCCTATTCGATTAATTGATTTAGCTAAAACAATAGGATTAAATAGTTTATTTTATTATAAGAAAATGCATGCTATCAAAATTTTTGACTCAAATTTAGTTTATTATTTATTAGTACATACCTTAAAATATGGACATTGTTTTAGAACTACAACAATGGATTGATTTACATTTTGATATACAATACATGGTAGTTAAAAATAAGAAAATATTATTTGACTCAAGAAACTGGGTTACCATCCTATTTAACAGTTACACTTTAACATATATAGATATTCAGTATTGACATTGCTGGCAATATATCAGAACATACTATTGTGGAATAAAATTTTCTCCATCGTGATCGGTAGAATCGGGCAGTTTATAGATTGTGGGCGAGGCAAAAGTTGACTAAATTTTCACCGCTACACAGAAAGCTTAAAATTATCAATTGTCCTTGCACACGTTCCTCCGACGTCACCGTTATAACGCGCTTTAACGCCCGCTAGTATTTCTCACCAAACTGAAAATCGTTGAATTCTACGCTGCCTCTCGTGCACAATATGCGAGTATTTCTGACTGGTGGAGAGTCATTGTGCCGGCGGACGCTTAATTACGTGGATGTCGTGTCCTATTCGCAAACGCTCGTCAACCCCATCCCCGTAACCACGATCACCAGTTTCCACGACACTGCCGTCGCGTCGGCAATTTTCTTTTTATCGTGGGATTAAGAAGCAAGACCTCGCCGACGTAAGTGTGTTGGACACGGAGGAGACGATGCAGAAGAAAGAGGCACAGAACGAACTATTAACGGTCGCGTCATGCACACGTTGACTAACACACAGAAACGTGGTTTAATGATGCATTTCTCTACAGTCTCTTGCTATTTGTCACGTGGAGAAAATAAATCGTCCCATGTGATAATTTCCGGGGAAAGAATGATCGATGCGATCAAAATACGGTAGCTTAGGATAAAATGTGAAGTGACATGTGCAATTTTATGTTCATTAATCTACACCAAAAAAAGAGTCTGATAATAGCTGCTAAATGTTGAGTGAAGTAATGCCAATCAAATGTTTGATAAGAAATATCTATAACTAAAAATAATTTTACTTTTTCAAATATCGGCAAACAATTGATTATATTATTATATTGATTATATGATTATATTATTATATTATTATTAATATTTATTGAATATTTTGAAAAGTAAAATTATTTTTTACTATATTAATCGAACATTTGAATAGAATTATTTCACTTAACATCTAGGGTAGGTATTATGAAATTATTTTTTTCAATGTACCGTGCACTCTTCTTTTCGAACGAATAAAAAATTTTTCTACCCGATATATAAAAAGAAAAAATGGTTTTCTTCCGTGCCGACTCTATCAGTAATGAAAGTCGATAAATTGCGTGAAAACTCGTTTTCTCCGCTCTAATATCGTTGAGAAATCATATCCTTCTCTTGATAGAAGCGCATATTGAGTCGTCGTAAGTGATAGTGATCGATCGATAGCGCGACCATCTTCTCGCTAGAGATACGAACGCGTATCTCACTTTCTTATTCTTTCCTATGTGATAGATACGTTAATTAGGCTGGGTTGCGAGAAAAGAGATTGAAAAGCAGAAAGGTAGGGGCAATTGGTGCGTCACAGTTCCCGTCACGGTTCTCTAACCTAATTCGACTCTCCCCCGCAGTAGCACCGTAATAGGGTGGAATTAACTGGAACGAACGACCGCACAGCACTCCTGAACTGCTGTCCTTCTTATTTTAACACCATTAACGGCGAAACTATCTACAGTATCTTCTCGTACCTATAATGCTTTAGCAACGTAAAAAATTTTAACTTTTCTCATAATAATAAAAAATTCATTTGTCGCGCTGTCCATTTAAAATTGCGGGTTCGCATGAGAAAATATGTCCGAGAGAAGAATTTACATTTTACATGCGACATTTACGTGACACGAAGAAGAAAGATTCGTGCCAGTAGGTGAATATAAATTGATACTCCGATCTGTGTATTTTCGTGTTATGTATAACGAAGAAGAGTGAATTTCTGTTACCATCGATGTTTTCGTACGCTGGCCGATGGATGTCCGCTTTGGTCTTTAATGGTCTATTGATTTCCACAGACAAAATGCAACCTACCCCTAATAATAGCCGATTATATCTTAGCGTCGCTCCGACCAATTGAGATCACGAGCCGGTATTGGAATAATCTTCTACAATTTCCACTCTCTGCTATTTACGTATCGACTGCAAAAAATATTGCGACGTTGCCGTTATTTTCCATGCCACAAACGAGGACAGAATGACCCCAGGATTACAATAACTCATTTATAATAATGCCTATTGCTGCGTCAGCGATTTACTACGAAATTGTGATGCTATACAGACGTATATTTGTATAACCTAATGCGTTCAAGAGAAAATCAATTCATCAAGCCAACTCTGATACACAATGCAACAACAGCAAAGTTTAAGTGGCGTAATTTGGCAATGACAGAGTATCGCTTATTTCAACGTTTTCTTCGCGCATCATTGAAATTTGGCCACAATTTCTTCTCCGCGCGGGTCGTAATTCTCTTTGAATTTTGCGGAACAAACAGATCTATCCGAGACAGGGCGCCGCCGCAGGATTTGTATCTTGTTTTCGAGAAATACTTTTTCGCTGCCAGACATATAGTGCAATCCCAGTGTTTTCCTCGTCTCCGACGATATCGGAGCGTGGCGTGTGAGGCGTGTTTGCGAAATTCAAAGTTACCTACGTTAAATCATCGTCGAGAGTGCGAAAGTATAAGTCGGTCGCTCGTTTTTTGCTCGCGAGTTTAAATTATGCCTTCGTGAACTTGTTAAAGATATTTTACAACTACGATTGCAAAACTTGTGAATAATTTACAAACTAATCGTCCGCCAGCCATAACTTTTTCGATCGAGGACGTCGCGCCACGATACATAACAGTTCGACGTATCATCCCCAGCTGTGATTGAGAAAAAAAGTTTTTATTTTTAGAAGGGAAAGATCGCACACAGAGAAACTCAAATTGATATGGACAAAAGCCCCTCGAGCGTGATTCGTTTGAATTACGATAGTTACAAAGCTTTTTAAGCCGCTAAACCATCGATGCTCGAAACTATGTTTTGTTTTACGGTCACGTGCTATGTAAGACAACAAAAAATATATATAGGTGTGCAGCCGCAGTTGCAGTTTCACTCGTCGTCTATTGATTTTGGTCAAGATTTTCTTAGATTTGCCGCACTCGATTTTTCGCTCGACTATTTGCCACGTAAAATGGAAAAGTGCAGTCGAGAGGATTGAATACGCCTTTCCTTCTTTCAGTCGTCTTTGTGCCGGCGGTACATATACTGCACGTGCACGTCCGTAAGATACATCATCTCCGCAGTAGCGCAATATCGCATCCGCGCAAAGGCTAATTCCGTATGCCGTGCAAAGAATACGGCTTCGACGATTACATAAATTACGCGGAGGGCTCGTATCTATGTAACAATTGTGCACCTGCTCTCGGAGGTTACGCACTATGGCCGGAATATAGAGAGAGGGAGAGAGAGAGAGAGAGAGAGAGAGAGAGAGATTGTTCCGAGTGAATTATATTTTCCGTGCCGCCGGTAACGTACCGCTGAAGGTACCGTGACTAATGGTCCATATTAATTAATTCATTATTTTGTGCACGAACGCTGAAGGTACCGCGGCGGATTCGCGACTGGGTAGAGATACGCGGATGTCGCCATAATTTTACGATATTATAACTTTTAGTAACGAGAGTTTATGACCGGTAGTGCGGTAACCGTAGTACTTTACCGGCTCATCGAGCCTGGAAAAAAAGTGGATCTGTGTTTAAAGGTTGGCGTTTTCCGATTTTAGGAAACTACTGGACAGTGGATCAATCTCGGCCTGGAACTGGAGCAGAGGGGCAACGATATCATCGGCACGAAGAAACCGACGGGCCATTCGCTTCTGATCGACTGCCGGCTGGAGCTGCCATATGGTAAGTGGCGACATGATCCTGTTAGATTACGGTAGATGAAAATCGCATGGCTGACGTATGTAATCGTACATATACGAGATATGGGAATACGTTTGACGTATATCGGTGTCACACATCATGCCGAGCGAACAGAAGATCCGACCTGCGACAGTTGCGCCGGCGAGAATATTCATGCAAATTCTGACGTTGTAATTTGTCAACTTCGACACTACGATCGATTCGCGCCGTGTCGTATCTCCGATCTACCGTTCGCCCATTCGCTCCTGATCGCCCCTTCGAACGCCAGCATGACTGCGTTCTGATCGCGCCATGACTTCTATACGTAAGATTAAGAAAAATTCTGCCACAAAAATGCGGCAGTTCGCTCTTTACCGCGTGGTATTTTCACTGAGCGCGATGCGATTGCCAAAAGTCTGCTCGCGGAGCAATGAAAAGAAAGCTCGAAGCGCGGATTCTTTTCCAATTTTATCCAACGAATTTTGAACGTAATTTCAGATAAATCTGAATGTTCCAAGAAAGAGGTAGACAGAAGTTGAAAAGAATGCGGGTTAAAGCTAAGGAATAGTAGTTGAGAGGCTGTGAAGGCACAAAGTGAAATTTTGAACAGGATAGAAACGCAACGATAATGAAATACGAAGTAGCGCTAAACGGTACTTTCCATGTCACTTGACAAGATCGCAACATCGAATTCGCGATGGTGAGGGGAAAAAAAAGGTGCGAAGCCATCATCAACAAGAGCTGTCGAGTTTCTCCTCGTCGAACGAACGACAGGACGAAGTTTTAATTGAGTGTGTCTGCGAACTTGTCGAATCTGCTGTTGGCTCGGCGCCCGCACGTACATTCCGACTTCGTCGTCGTGCTCTACGCAGTTATGTGTCCCGCGAATTGTTTCGATGTCTGCAATTCCACACGATAAAAGGTAACCGAGAAAACGGCACGTGGGACTCTCGAAGATACGGAGGGATTTCCGAGCAAATGAAACCAGACTGCGAACTTACCCTTTCGAAACTCTGAGTGTTTCTCTTCGTTCTACGCGAACGGAATCTAAAATCATTACCTGGCTGTGTTTTTTAATCTGAAATCTGAATTAAGAATTCTTGTCGCACTCACGCGACGAAAAAAAGAGGCGACACGAAGGAAGTAATTATTTTGAAGTGTAAGTCTTATTTTGCGCGTTTTGATATACGTATATGTATACTTATTTCTTTCTTTATAGACTGGTTAACTTGTGGTTAAACTTAATCTGATTGATTATTAATTAAATTTAAAGTTATCATTACAAAACCGTCAATTTAATGATTTATCACAGCTACAGAATCACAATTTTTACGTTATCATCAATTTAAGGAAGGTTGAGTCTAAACTGCAAATTAATCAGATACCTAAACCGGGCCATAATGCACGTAAAATTATTATTATTATTATTATTAAATTCGACGACGATGGCTGAGATAGCGAATAAAAATCAACATTAGTCGCGATTGCGTGATTGTGGTTGGCGATTGACGATTACTTTTCAATTCCAGTTGGAGCAAAGCAATCAGTGACTGCTTTGCTTTGATCAGTTGAAAAGTAATCACCAATTAATAATTACAGTTGCGCAATTACTAATATGATTACGGCTTAACACGACCAGTTTCGATATCACATAAGCGCGAAAATTTCCTTCAAATCTATTTCAAATTTACGTTTACTGATCCTTTTCTCGCAATCTTCCTCTTGATTCGTTGCTTGCCTCGGCGAGCACTGTCAAGGTTTCATACCCGACGAGGTCCCTCCGGATATCGGCGCGGCGACTTACAATTTACGGAGTTTTCGGCGAACTCGTGGCAGCAACAAGTACAACTTTTTCGGGTTTGGCATACATACGCGTATATCAGATATATGCAGAGCCTTCCATTAATCCCACTGTTTCCGCGGGACCACGTGGATCTATGCAATTACCGTGCGGGCCTTTAACCAGGATTGACGTGCTTTCACCTAGTGCCCGGTCGTCGACATGCCCGCGCGATCAATACGCTATCGACCTTTCGCTACGAAAAGGTCCACGAAAAGGGAGCTAATCGTACGTTACGATTCGTATAGGAGGAAAACGCGTTTTCCGAATCCATACGAATTTACGAGTGCACGAAAGCACTTGACATTTTTAATATACGATTCACAGATAAGGCCGCGGGGACGATAGTACGCGCGATAGGCGTGCGGCTTAATCCGTATGCAAATTTCTAAGAATTTATTTCCAACGGTCGAAACGGGTTCTCACGTAATAATATCTCGATTTGGAATCTGACATCGTCGTGAGTGCGCGAGTCTTTTCTTAACGCCGGCCGAAAGCTCGATTCGCGTACAAACGTTCCGCGTTCCATTAAACGCGCGCATATTTTGCGTCACGCGATTTGACTATGTTGCGAATTAAGAGAAAACGAGGCCGCTACAATAAACTTCTCCCCCTTTATACACGTGCTGACGTTTCGCCACGAACGGATTCGCCAGCTCTCACGCCATTTCTTTTTCCGCTTTGCATTTTTCCGCCACCGTCACCGCTTCCGGTTTTCGATCCATGCCAACTACAACATCGTTTAATGGAGTTTATACCGCGCCACACGATGTATATTTCTCGTGTAATACTTTTCCTTATTGACTTTCTTCGCTGAGAGCGCGTAAAGAAAGAGAAACGTTCTTTTATCTTGTCATATAGAAGCAGGGAAAGAGAAGCTGCTCAAAGAAAAATCAAGAAGATTTGCGCAAAGGGAGATACAGTGGAAATTGTAATTAAAGTTTATTTGAGAAAAAGGTTGCCCTTTACCGAAGCGTATACAGTAGGCGGTAAGGGAATTTCGAACTCAGGGACTATAATTTCGCTTACTTAGAATATCGAAAGTTGATAATATAATTTATTCGGAAATTGCAGATAATTAATCACTAACAGAATTAATGTTGTATTTACGTCACTGCGCGCGAGAGATGAAACTTCTGGTCTAATTTCCTTTTACATTTCTCTATTTCCATTTCGATCTGTGAAACTGGTATATACATATATGTATATAATAAGTATCGTCAGATTAACGTAGTTTCACTTGTTTTTAAGCTTTTTACTGAAAGACAATTGCCATATCTGTTGCTACAATTCGATGAGAGAAAGGACGAAAGAAAAATATTAGTCTTGCACTGTTAAAACGTCTTTTCGCGTCTTTTCGATGACTTGTTCTTCTCATTGATTACTTTGCAATATTTCTTTCGAGTATATGAGGTTTTCTATGCTTTATCTCACAATGAATCCTTTCATCAATTTACAGTTAATATTTTGTACAATGAAAGATTTTTCTTATTTAATTAAAAGTGTAGAAATTTAAAAAATTTAATTTAGGACTTATATAATTATTATACAATTCATTATAATGATATTCAATATTGAGTACCAAATTGCGAAAAAGATGTTCGAGATTTGCACAACAAGTGTAAATTGATGAAGAAAATCAACGGATGAAAGAAAGTATCGGAAAAGTACTAGAGTACTTAGCATAATAACTGCTAAAGTACAACTTTCAAGAAATCGCTGGAAGTAATTGCAAAGTATACTACCGTACATTATTTGGCTTATCTTTTATAAGCGGCGAAGATTGTAGACCACAAGATTATGAAACTTACTTTTGGAAATTGCAATCGCGCGAGATATCACGCGTTGAAGAGCATAAAACGATGGATATGATCGCCACTCGAATCATGCACATCCACAACCTTCCGTCTGATCAGTGTCTGACCAATCAGGAAAGCGCGTACAACGAACTGGATGGAAAGCCCTGCTAACGAGCAAAACAGCAATGCAGTTGCGAGCAGCCCGGCCCATGTGTGGCTCAGGTACCCTCGTCAAGAGATCCTGATCGTGGGATCGTCCTTGATCGCGAGATCTCTCTATTTTCGCTTTATCGTTTCGATTCCACCAACCGACCTGCATCCGAGTGCAATGTGATGTACCACTCTCGCCGATCGTGGATTCGCGTCCATCATCCGCGCATTTCTCCCACCGTAAAATTTAACGATCCCCTTTAACGACCTCTCGATTAAAGCAGTTAATTACAATTAGCGCGGAAATTAATTCTTCGAGATGACCGAGATATAAGTAATCGTTCAAAGAGAAATTTTCAATACCATAAGCTTTATTATACCTAGAGATCTCTAGATATTTATTACCTAGAAATCTCGAGATCGTCCTTGGTACTTTTCTAACATTATAAAGATGCCAATATACATTCCAAATGTAAAAATCCATTTTGTTGTGTCACTACTGCCACTTTTTTCTATTATTCAGAGATGAAGGGCTATTGAATAATTATCCGAAATCTTGATGATGATCATCGACACGCGTGTCCACGATCCGCGATGGAAAATGTTTGTTTTATTTGTACGCAATTAGTGTTAACGAATCCCGTTCTTGCTCGTGAATCACTGCACTAGAAACCTCTATCCTCGTTCCGAATTCCTCGGCTTACCTTCCTTCACGCGTTAGTTTTTAATGCGCGCGAGTTATACCGGATAACAACGGGCGTTTATAACAATTACACGTATCACGAGATGCACGGTTCTCTTGGGTACGAGAAATAGAACTCACCGCATCGTGCAGAAAGACGCGTTTACGAGGGGTCCATTGAATTTTATCTATGCATACATATCGCGTCCACCGGGTATCTTTTGTTTTCCGCCAGCCAATGCTCTCTTCATGTATCCGTTTCATTAACTTAAGTGCAGTTACTTTTGAGCTTTATGTAATCCACGTGCGTGTATCGAACGAGGGGAAGCGGAGGTGTACGCCGGGTGGGCGGTAGTCACGCGACCGGAGTTGTTCCAGTCGTTAACGGTGGACTTTGATATGATTTTGTACCTGATTAACCGACTTTAATTACGACGTTGCGGCGACGCGCGCGGCCCTGTTACTGGAAACCTACTAAAAGCATTTCATCGAAAATCGCGTCGCATTACCGGGAAAAGCCCAACGATGCGTCATGTGACTTATTTTCGTAATTTCCTCTGTCGTTCTTCAAATACTTTTTTATACATGTAGCTGTAATACGAATCGTCCCACTCGTTCTGGGCATCGGCGATCGAGAAACAACGCTATAAAACAAGCACAGCATCACCATTTCGAATGATTTCCTCTTCACCACGAGATCACTGCGTGTGAATCTGTCATGTGTGAGTTTAGCGAAAAGAGGTAGGATGTTCGATGTTTCTGCTTTCACGTATTCTCTTTGATTGCCCTCGTCCGGCGCGCTATTGTTATTCTATTTTACTGGCAAATGAAAATATACGGCCTTACGCTACTGACTACGACAATATTGTTGGAAATGAGATAAAATATTATCCATATGACGTTTTCAATGAATATCTAAAAGGTCGATGAAGCAGTCACCGAACGTTACGTGCCTTTAAAACAAGCACTGTGTTTATGAGTGACGCACGTAGTGAAATACATATTTATTAGCATTAACAGAAGAAGCAGATGAAACGACAAAAGCGATCGCTCAGCAAGTACGGACGATGACGATTTCCGGTGAATTTTAATCGTTACATTTATTTCATAAACATTCATATTCGACTTAACTTCGAAAGTAATTTGTTTGAATTATTATATCCTCAAATATTTGTTCATTGAAATATCGTTCTCTTCTCATGATCTGATCAATTATTTGCCAGCTTCTGTTTCTCTGTTTTGCATCAGTTTAATATCATTTTAATTAGCTTTGTTATACGCACTGATGGATATTATGACGGTTAACTGTATTATTTCAGCATACGAGTACATAATTCGTTTATAATGTGGAGAATCTGAAGAAAGTTGCATAACTTATTTAATTACTTAATTGGGAAGGAGACAAGGCTTCAGATATTTATTATACGCTCGGAAGAAATATGATTGCAGAACACGCCCACGACTGTTCTATCTATGTGAATTATTATACAGTAACTTAAACCGTTTTGCCCTTATATCTAATTATTGTTATATCATAGAAAAATAATTAACGCGTGATTATGTGATGCAATTATAATCGAGCACCCGGCACCTCGCTCTCAGGCGCTGTATTTTTAAGTATTGCATTCGTTTAATTGGTCGATATTAACTTGAATCGACTGAAGACAAAGAGACTTTCTCTCTTCAGGTACGACTTCTTTTTGTCAGTGCACATGCACACACACACACACACACACACATACATACATATACACATACACGTATATACACAGATACACGTGCATACACACATACACTTATTCCCGAAGCACCATCGCACGTGCACGCAGTGGCGCGGCGATAGCACAATAGGGGGGAGTGATTTCGAATAAGTAAAGATAAGAAAGAGAAAGAGATCAGAGATTTTATTGTTTCGATGTGTTGTTCTTTCAAGTATCGATATATAAAAGAGAGGGTACCTGCAGATACATTAAGCTATGGCTGCGACACTGTAATTAACGACTGTTCGTAGACACTTGTTCCCCTTTTTCCGCTATCTCCGTCTCTCTCTACCTGTCTGTCTTACGTAACTATACCTGTATCTTGTAATTAGTTACACGAGAATTGTGCTGTGGAATTACTAGAAACGTTAACGTCAGAATCACAAACGAACCACAATAGGGGAGCAATACTGATATTAGTGGTTAGTACACTGTCCATCGTTAACGTACGATTTCATTCGGGTGCGATGACGGGGAGCCCTTTTATAGTTTAATCTTATTCAAGCATGAGCAAGCATCGTGGAGTGTGTACCTATTCTTTTTCTCGGCGACCGTTCTAGAGGTGCAATGAAGATATTCACGCGGTATTTTAAGAAAGAGAGAGAGAGAGAGAGAGAGAGAGAGACACTGTGAAAGAACGTCGAGATAAGTTGTTCGTTTATTCAGTTTCTCTCAAAGATTCTTTTTGTATGCTAGGATGGTTATACAGTATAGGTATTCGATATTATTACCGATAATTTTCTTTTAAACATAGATATGTAAATTATTACAGTTGATGTTATAATAATTTTGTCTTTAACTATTAAAAACGCACAGATAACGGATGTATACATTGCTCGAACGCGTTATATATATTCAAAGGATTCTCTCTCCTTGGTAGTTTCTACATAACATGAGTATTCTTGTTAATATATTACTTTGTAACGTTCAGTGTGCGGAACGCGTATTGTCCGCGATATATCCGATTTTTTTGCCTACGGCGTATCTAAACATTCAGAATGTACGCAAACAACGGCCAATACGTAATTTGTGTGCAGTATACAACGAATAAATAGCACAATTTTCGGCCGTCACGCAGTCGATTCGATTAATATGCGGATCTAAAAACGTATTAATGAAATATTGAACCGCGTGCCAGTTATTACTTTTACCAAATGGTCATATCGTAAAAAACTGGAACGTTTCTTCATTTAAATTGGTATTGATTAATCAATTTAATTACCGTTTACATTTTATCAAGCATTTATTCAAGATTTCCGTAAAAAAATCGCGAAAAATGTCATTTCAGTTAGAAATAAATGTCATGCATTAATATACATACATAATATATGTGTATATATATATACATACAATTATAAAATATATAAATATACATATAATGTATGTATATTATAGGCTGTGATAATTTAAAAAAGACAAAATAATTTATTTTGTTTTATTTAAAATGGACTAATTCTACGCTTCCGTCCAGCCATGTACGTGGCCGAGCGCGAAAAGGCAGACCGGATATACGAGGTTAGAGATAAAAGCACCGAGGGGTGATGAGTAAAACGAAGACGACCTTCCGGAGATTTAACTCGGCAGTAAATCGTCACCTGTGTCGCTTGTCGGTATATAAGACGACCCGTTTAGAACGAAATACAAGAGTTCACTTTTGGTGCGTTATCCCCAGAAAATTCTTAACTTAAGATAAGCTGATGAAACGATATTGTGGACAATTAATTATCTATACATGTTCTAATGATGGCAATATTTATAATGAATTTAATTCTGTTAAATACAAATAAGATGAATAATAAATTTTTGAACATTTAATATTAATTCAATAATATGTATTGCCCTAAATTTTAAATGAATCGCCAAAATGATTGAAGTTTGTTGATAATTTGTTATAAATACGTTCTTTTCATTGTATTCTTTGATTGCATGATAATAACGATGAGATGCCACAGAAGATTTCGAGAATTTCTTTAGACGTTTTATATTGACATGGAAAATCTTTTCAATCGTTTAACCAGAGAGACGTCAAATGCCTATTTCAAGTCAGCTGAAGCGATTCTTTCAAGTTGCTAAAGAATCAATAGAATCTGCTTGAAAAGCACGGTAACGTGATATAATTCCTTCAAGCGCTAAGAGAACACGAAGAGGGTGGGAACCACGGTTTCGGCGCTCTCTATTGTGTGAAATTTATTTCACTTCTTTGAGAATCTACGAGAAGTACAGCTGCTTCTCTTCTTCCGGAAGGTCGCTCTGCCATAATTGTTCACGGAATCAAAGATAGTTTAAGAGAAGTACGCGAATTATGATATATTTTACAATTAACAAAACAATGCACATTTAACGGATAATATAAATAATGAAAGAGTGAAAAAGCACATACGAAAGACATTCTGTTGTATATCAAGCCATACAGTACATGAACTCTCATCTCTAATTATATTCGGCTGCGATATCGATACCAATGTACTTAATTTAGCCACTCGAAGGTGAGTGACGTCTGACAAAGGAAGGAGGAAAATAGCGAGCGGAGCAGAAATAGAGGAAGCACTTTCGGAGTGAAGAAGACCGCTTTCGCGATGAGCGCCACGGTTGTCTCTAAAAGTTTGTCAATATACGGGTGGCCAGCTGTTACTGTTACGCCATTACCAACGTCTACGGCATTACATTTATTTCGCCCGTCCAGCCGGGAACACGCAACAGCGGGGAGATGTTGTTGAAAGTGCAAGATACCATTTTCCAATTCTCGCGTTACGGCACTTAGCTGGATGTGCTTTCTTTTTCTCCCATTTTTTCTTCGTATTTGTGGAGAAGACGACGGAGTCGGCGCGCAAGGCGAGTGAAAGAGCCGCCGGCTGCAACGGTTGTACGGCGGATAACGAGGGTCACTGAAGGGGTGGTGGGGACAAGCCGCCGAGGTTGAGATAGGACCGAAACTTGCGCCGGCAGCGGCTGACAGTTTTCAAAGAAAAGCATACAGCCCTCGCAAGATGACCCGCTCTCCTCTAAGACTTGACCCTTTTTTTAATTGCAGAAAAATAAATAGCATATGACACTAGAAATCATGCTCTTATATCGTAGTAGACGGGCTGTATTCAAGTTTCCACCGAAATTACGCGAAGGAACCGCACTCATAATGTTTGTAAAGAACAAAATGCAAAGCATGTGTGCTAAAATTACTTTATTGGGACATCTGATTATTTCTCGAGCGAAAGGGTAATTTGATTAATGATCGAGAAGAACATTTTCTTACTCGCTGATGTAGTGGCTAAAATTATAGAAATTAAATGCCACGAGAAAAATATAAAAGATATTTTATGCAGTTGAAACTTACTCCATTTTGAGGTAAGAGCGATGGTACTTTTATCCAGATATCCACCACGTTTTAAGTATTGCTGATCGAAGTGCTAGTTAAGCAGCACAGCAACAGACTGTCCTTAGGGACAGTGAAAAATGTAATGGCGGGACGAGAAACTGATGCACTCAGTGCGCGCGTGTAAACGCCAGGGATGGTCGTCCTTTTCTTTTCACCGGGGAGTATTTTCTAACGTTGTCGGTGTAGTAAAATTGTTGACTGGAGTATTCGCAAGGTAGTCCCGTAATAAATCGGTCTGAGCTCTGTGGAAGTGACGAGTCGCGCGTTGTCGCAGTTTGATAAAGTTTGCAAACCTTCCTCGGAGAGTTTGTTGGTTCAATATGTAATTATGATTGAGCGCAGAAAGAGAGAGAGAGAGAGAGGGGGGAAAGAAGAGAAAGGATAACGCTGAGAGTTGATATTATTTATACAGAGTAATCTGGCGAGGTAGATTGCTCTTTCTAGACCACTTACCGAGATTCGCGCAATTTCGAGCAATGTGTACACCCGAGTACGGACACGTTTCCGATACTTTATCAGTTGAATTAGAAAAAAAGTAACAAGTACGATTATGTAAGGGATTATGAATAATATTTTGTTGAAATGCAAAGTTCTTGTAGTTGTTTTGATCGCGAGCTTGTTAGATATACTACCGAAATATTATTGTAGACGCGATATATGCAGCAGTTACTTAGTTATCCTTTCTTTTTCACGAGAACTAAGTACGTATCTAAATAAATTTAGGATGACAAAATCGATTGAAGACGTCAGATTAACAGAGAGACTCGCGATTAACTGTTTCCCTATCGATATCTATCTTTTCGAAAGACGCCGAGAACGCGGATGCGGCCGATCTGCAGAGGAAGCTGGAAATGCTGAACAACATGATGGACCAGGAGGCGCGGGCCGAACAGGCACGAAGGCAGATATTGTACAATATAGGCCACTGTAAGTACAGTCAAGTTACAGTTTAGATGGCTGATATCTTATTCAAATTGTTCTTTATGGCGCGAGAGAAACCAGTCCCCGATCGATTTCGTCTCTGATCTGGCACGCTCGCTCGCGATATGCACGAAGATTGATTTTTCTTTCTTCCGTGGAGATTTGATTCGCGACGAATCCGAGTAAATGAAACGTATACGTCTCCCGATGTTAGCCGTGAAAGCGAGAAATCGCGTATCGATTTTTTGATAGAGTTAAACTTTAAAGTAATGAAGTAAAACTGTGTAGATATTCGATTATTTTAATTCCAGTTTCTCATTCTACGCGTATTTTTCACTCTCTATTATGAACTATGAGCGCGACTGATTTATAATGCATTCGTACCACTTGCTACACTTCTATATTATTGTTTACCACCGTTACACTTTCTTTTTCTTTCAACTTCGAGAAGAAAAAACACGATGCGCGAGAAGATCGATTGTCATGCGGTAACGTTGTAATATTTTACATCGCGAGCGCTAATTTGCTGCAGCCTACGTCACACGACACTTTCATCCACACATCGGGTCGTCTGACATACTTGCAGTATTTTTAGAAACCGTGGCTTTCTAGGTCGTTCGCTTGAACGCTACTTCCGAGTAAGTCATAAAACTTTTACGCCCTTGTTTTTCCATGCGAGAAATCAATTTGGTTCCGTGCTGTTTCCTATTTTGCAATTGGCGACCGCGTGTCTTACCCACGGAGAGTATGTAGCGTGATATACCCTGGAGAAACAGGCATACAAGACGCCATTTTCATATGTGTTATCGGCTATCGACGTGTCGTCGGTAACTTACCACCCAGTTGTTACACCCTTTCTAGCAACCCCTAACCCGTGTAAAACAGCTATGAGAAGGCATGCAGCAAGCAGACTAGCTCTTTCTTTTTCTGTACTAATAAATAAATCGGTGTCTGGCCTTTTCGTTCTATGTTCTCTCTTGCAAACGTTCCATAATACCCTCCGTACGATGATTTGCATTCCTACCGGTCCTAATTCTGGAAGAAAAGAAGACACACACGAAAGACTAAAATAAAAAACAATATCGGAACGGTGCCTACATGACGATCAATTTGTCGCATGGCTGTTAACTATACTTATCTTGCTTCCTGCTATTGCACCACTTCAGTTCCCGGATTCTACCAATATCGACCAATTCTGCCTGCGGAAAGTTGCGAAATCGTCACGACGAAGAATTGGCTTCAACTTTTATTCAGGAAAACGAACGCGACTCGTCGACTCACTATTTTGATGTAAACGTAAATTTTGCGATTTGATAGGCAAGCTTGAAAATAGAACTTAGCGGAATAGGATTATTGCAAGAAATAATTTACATTTCTGCCTGGTCAAAGTATGACTTTTATTTTTTTCTATCAGTTGTATGCGTTTTGTTTCCTAACATTCTTCAGCCGCAGGAAAAATAAAATGATTTTCGTCAACGTTGCAGAAGCGAGGCGACGATTCCGATATCCCACGCAAAGTTATCAGGGCATTATATCAGGCGTCGCTAAAGACTTTTACTCCAGTTTCTCCAATCATTTTTTCCAATACGCTATAAGTTGTAATCCATCTTTCAGCGGGGTACTCGGAGGACTCTGACTACACGTCGGATTTGAATTATCCAGTAGGTGGGCAGGGTGCGAACAGCTCGGCTTCGCAGTTTCGTACGGCAGCTAATCAGTTGGCTACACCTCAAAGGTCCCTCGAAACGTCGAGAGAAAATAGTTACGAGAGAGACGATCATCAGGTATTGATCAACGACAGAAAAATTCTTGCACAGAGAGGAGGCTTAAAAACGAAACAGATATCAATAGATATTATCCTTAATGTATTTAGTTATTAAACAATCTCTAACGTAACATTCAATAATAATAACATATTATATTTAATGATAAAATTTAAAAAATTATTACAACTACACACTATATTATTTGAATTATTGACTTTTCTAATCTACTTGTTCCGTCGGCGACATTTTAATTATGCGATAATAAATTAAGAGAGTAACGTCACCAGATTCCAGTCACCGTTGGAGGAAGGTTGGCACCTAGTAATTACGGAAGTTATGGAGGTTCAGGCCACAGTCCGAGGTACGACGAGCCATATCCAGAGGATGGTCTGCCGCAGCGATACTTGCAGGCCCAGCAACATCCTTCAGAGTCTTCCGAGCCACTCTTCTATAACAGTAGACCGAAGCACTACAAGGAATACAGGTACTACAGATACATTGAGAGGTAGCGAGAATTCCTAATTAGTATATTCAATAACACATTAATAAAAAGATTAGAGCAACGCTAAACACATTTTAGTGATTCCTGTAATGACCTATGACGCTGTTTTATACGAAAGCAAAAATATGTAGAGCATTTAATGTTTACGCGCCAATTGCGCATAGGTCTTTATTGTTAAGTTTACATTAATTAAGACGGAAGAAAATCGTTTATGTTATTTTCTTGCCTGATTCAGACGACGGAAGCACACGTGGGATTACGAGGACAGGTACGAGCGCGACCGTGCGATTTCGTGAGAATTTCAGTGAACCTCTACAGCACACATTCACTCATGCATACGCGATTATCAACTTCATTTATCATGTTTTGTTCTTACCGTGCATATCACGACCGGCACCACTTCGTGCATTATCGCAACACTAGGTTGGCTTGTGATTGCGTTGCACTCAATTAATCGTATGCAATTGCAAACACATCGATCGTAACAGTGATTATGTCGGGCGAGTCGTTCGTTATAATGTAGGCCACCATCGCCGAGCACTCGTTTTGCCTTAATAACATACGTAGAAAAATAAGAGGTTTATGCCTTTAATTGATAGTTGTACGTAGCTTATATTTTAGTTGCACGTGGCTTTGCCTCTGTGACTTAAAAATAGTTCAAGAATTTTAACGAGAGGAAATATATTGTAGAATATACATGATTTAAATTGCAGATATATTAATTTGTAAGTTGAAGCAATACATTAAATTCACAGGCAATTCACAGGCATTTGCATGGTGCAGTTAGTAATCGCAGCTGATCATTCAAGAAAATCGACCTTTATCATGAATCATCTCATCTTCGGCTCAATTCTTTCGTTTTGATGTGATCAAAAAGTTTTGATCGTTATCTCATGCTTTCAGCCAAGACGGCTGGTACAGCGAGGGTACCTACGATTATCCGAGGATCGATGATACAAGAATTTATAGCGATACTGAATATTATTCAAACAACACGACGACTACCACAAGAAGATTGAAAGGAAAAGGTATTAAGCTCTGATTAAATCCATTATGGATTATTTAATAAAATTTTTAGCATTTTTCTCTACATCTTCCATTTATTCCTTTTTCTCCTTTATATCCTTACACTTTACATGGAATCTCAGATTCCTATGCTCAATGATGTAACAAGCAAAATATGCGTTGAATGCATCTCTGCATATTTTTAATTATATCCATTCATTTTCAATTTTATCAAATATTTACTATGATGTTGTCAAGAATGAGGACAAGTGTATATGACGTTTTTTTTGCCTATTTTCTAAGCAGTTCCATACAGAAGACCGTCTCTGGAGAGACAGATGACTCTATACGACGATCATTCGTATTACACTGATGGATATAGCAGCGATGGTAGAGTGGGTAAAATGAGCGCCACATATCCAGAATGTGAGACGGATATTAGGTATAACGAATACTACGACACCATAACGGGATACGTATATCAGGATGAGAGGTAAGCACGGCGCCAACAAATGCTCATATAAAAATGATGAAGTCGGAGGGGGAAAACTAAATCTTCGTTTCTCTTTCTCTCTTTGCAGATATGGTCAAGACGACGAGGACAGGCAGTGGGACAGTGGAGGGAAGCGATTCTTGGGAACAAATACATATTATGAAAATAAACGAAACAGAAAGACGCTTCCGCAAAGGCCGGCTTCGAGCATCGGTATACACCGGCCGGATTACAGACCCACTGTTACCAGACAACGTAGTTACGAATCGGATGAGCTCGATTATAAGTATGTATATCATTATAGAATGCTTTTATTTTGCGTGAAAATTTTATCTCTATCTCCAGTTTTATTATAAATAAGTGTTGGAATTTAACCCTCCGGAGCTGATGCTGGGTCTGTAAGACCCTCTTTCATTTATGTTAATTAAAAAAAACCTAATTAATTTCAGGCAACCAAAATAATACAACTAGTATAAAAGGATTAAGAAATAAATATTAAGTATATTTTAATAAGAATAATCCAAATTTATGCTAAAGAAAATTGAATTATTGGACATTTTTAACAAAGAGATTTATAATTGAATAACTCATTGTCAGTTCCAAAAGGTTGAAACTATAATTATTAAAAATTGAAAAGTAGACAAATTACAATTAAAGGATTAAATTAATAATGATATCTAAACATATACATTAAATAATATACATTATATATTATGACACATACAATATATTATACATATATGTAATGGTTCTGTTCGATATTTTTTGTAAAGCGGATATAATACTCGTCGCCGGAAGATCTTGCAGCCGCAGCAACGTCCGATGTCGCGGCAGGAGGGCGGCACCGGTAAGAAACTACCTCCGACCCCGACCAAGCCGAGCAACGTGGTGATCAGCCGTAAGCTCGCCTCTCTGCCTGCTACGCCGAGCAGACAACTGCCAAAGACCAGAACGCCCTCCGAGGAGAGCTATTATAAATCCGATTATAACGAGGACTATAATTACGCTTATCGTAGTCAGGACAATCTGCCGCAGGACACATATACAGAGAACATTTACAGTCAGCAGCAGAGCGGTCAAACCGATCAATCCGTTAACAAGACTCGATATCCCGAGGTAAATCAAGATAATCAATATGGTTATACAACGCAGGTCGATGGCCAATACGGTCAATCGTATCCAGAGCAACATACGCAAAATAGCTATGAGCAGCCAACGGTGTATACGCAACAGAACTCATACAAGGATGAGTACCAACAACCTTACGCGCAGCAAAACACTCAAGCGTATCAGGGAGCGTATCTGGACACGACATATCCAATTGCCAGTCAGGCGAACGATCACCAGTACGCGAATCAAGCGAAGAATGAGTACGATAAGCCCGATGGTATGATAATCGAAGACAATTTTCACGAGATGGGCTTTAATCAGAACAATGTTCAGTATCAGCAGTCGGAGTACAAACAACAAGACGTTTATCAGGAGCAATACAATGATTATGATTCTACCGTATCGACGAGCGTTTATGATCAAAATAACGTCACGAACACTTATAATCAGTATCAGCCGCAGCAGTATGACTCTCAATACAATATTAATACGTCGACCGATTATGAAACACCTTATCAAGAGACATATAATCAAGTGCCTGTTACATCGCAGGATAATTATCAAGAATCCTATACGAAGCAGCCGCAAGAAGATTTTGTAGATTATCAAACGCCGTACAGTAAGCAGAACGACGTGCCTACGACGTATAAAAATAACTATCAAGAAACTTATCAAGATTATTCAGAGTCATATGATGAATATCCAGATTCGTATCAAGGATCTTTCGAGGAACAGCGTTACAAAAATGGTTCGGCGACAGCGACGGACAGAAGACAGAGCGAAGTGCCTGAGCTATCTGTGACCACGCCACGAGGTCAGACGAGAACGAATGGTTATCCGTCAAATGAGTCAGAATATCTCTATCAGTCTCAAGAGAATGAGCTCGAGAACAGTTCGAGAAGAAAGAAGATCGACGGTAAACGTGAGCCCAGCCCGCTTCTCCAGCAGAATACGGATTCGCTCGAGTCGAGGGACGACGAACTGAAGGACTCGTTCGATACCGCCGTGAGTTCTGTCGGTAGCAGTCAACTCAAGAAGGTATACAGCGAATACTCGACGACAGGTGACTCGAGCCCCGCGCCCGCCGCTTTGGTGGAATCTCCTCAGATCATCGCTCAATCACAGACGACAACGATGGTCAATCATGTGACGGACAATCACATAACCACCACTGTGATGGTCCACACCACGAACATCGTGAACGGAAAACGACCATTGGCCAGAACAGATTCCTACCAAGAGGATGTTATCGAGGACGAAGACTATCCGGAGATTATTCCTAAGGAAACACAGAGAAAGGATTCGCAGTTGTCGCATCAGAGTCAGCATTCTCAATCAACGCTCTCACAGAAACCGAAACTCACGAGAGGGGACTCTTACGTCTCAGATAATTACACCGAGGAATCTTATAGTCATACAGGACCATACACTCAATTGCAAAGAAAGAATTCCTTCTCGTCGACCACTGAAGGATTCAAACCGCCTCTCACTAGGACCGATTCGTATCAGCAAAGAGATCTACGAGGTAGCAATTATGGGCATAACTATACCGCGCCGCAGCCTATTTCCAGAGCGGAGAGTTATCAACGCGGTCACTTCAAGGATCAGGAGTCGCTAGATCAGAGTGACATCGTTCTGAGCAACGCGGTGAACGGTGACTATCAGATGCGGGACGAGTCTCTTGAGAGGTACGAAATTATAATTATAAATTATAATTATATAATAATTGAAAATAATATTCTTTTTCTGATATATCAATTCAGATGTTAAACGAATTTTTTGTTTCTTTAAAGGTACGAACGGGATGAAGAAGTCTTGCGTCGTAACTCTCGAGAGGACTCACTGGTCGATCAGTACAAAGGAACTCCGCCGTTGTCACATATCGAAAGCCCGCGTGGTAAGATTATCGTGCTAATTATTAATTAAGTAAGAAATGCAACATTATTTAACATTTTCTTCCTAATCGACTGACTCAATTTCAGGGAGTATAATAAAGCAGGCATCATTGGATGAAAGCGTTCAGATGGACACTCCGCCGAGAAGTCCGCCAGAGCCGCCAGCCGACGAGGAACTTCTCGGGATGGTCGCACCGGTACCCACGCAACTGAAGGAACGCCCAGAAATGACGGCGAGGCAGCGGTGGCATTGGGCGTATAATCAGATCATCATCCAGCTAAATGTATGTAAAACTAAGACATACAAATACATTTTTAATTTTTCGCGTGTGGAGATAACAGAAAGGACAAAAATAATTGCCAAGGAATTTTTGATTCTTTGTTTTAAATTTCGATCATTACACCGATCACGCCGGTACGTTAAAACGACGGTCAATGATCGCAGAGGCGACCTTTGGAAAAATGCAGTGATGCCGGCAGTAACCCGCATTAATCGTAGTCCTTCACTACAACGGCCTTGTCAATCATTACCTTCACGTAACATCGATTCGTTGCAAACGCAGACGAGCTACCCGGTTCTCCGGTTTGTCGCTCATTTGTATGTTAATTGTTCAAGGACGGAAGGTCACTGGCAGTACGTTGATCTTAATCGAATATATTTAATGCTATAAAAAATAGGGACTTGATCCTATCTATAGTCAGGTATTATTTGCATAAACTAGTTTTGTCCATATTTAGCAGTCGCTGATGTGCCAATGTGTCATGATGATTGATAGAACGTTGGCGATGTTATCATTAATGCAGCGGCAGGCGGAGTTTTGCTCGCTATCGATTGGTAGAAAAATGCTTTTCCGCGACCAGATAAAAACAACGCTTGACTTGATATACGTTCACATCAGTATATATATGGTATATTGGCTTATATATCAGCTGAAAAATGATTGAGCAAACATCTCGCAAATGGCGTGCAGATAAAGAAGTGTGACATGTGACGTTACTTTCCGAGAAGGATGCGACTATAGACGTAATATGGATGCAATGAAACATAGGTATAATATGTCTATGCGACGAAATGTTAAATAATCAGACACTCGCGTGACGCAATTGATGATATCGTTTCATCGAATTGTTTATTTCAATCGTCTATGAGCTCGTTCTACTTGAAACTCGAAACAAAGCGATGAGTATTAGAGTCACGATATCATTATAGTAGTTTTCTGTCGTTTTTTTCCGTGAGTTTTACTTCCTGGCCGCAATTCACGACAAAAACATATTTTTTTCTTTCAATTGCACCGATATTCCATATCGTGCTAATCGACGATCGTTAAACATTATTACCGTCATATACCGTATATTGATTTAGGTGCAAGGCAAATGCTGAACAACACAAAGTGTCGTAGCGAATTATTGACGCTCGTTATCGCCTCGGCGTCACTACCTTAAAAGTGTATCATTCGTTGTCGGATCGTCCGGTGCCAGAGATTAACGCCTGGCTTACACGAAACTTCCATTAACGCAGTCTTGTCGACTCGTACGAAAGCACCAGAGTACGCACCTGGTGCACTCCTGAGAACCGCAGCAGTCGATATATCGTATATGCTCGAGAAACTTTGGCTTTGCCGGTGGAAAATGTAAATTCGTGCGGAGCCGTGGGTTGGTTGAAACAGGCAGTTGCCGAAGCAATTGTTTGTTTTGCCGCTTCCACAGCTTGGAAACCATGCCAGGAAGACCGCCCTCTTTGCGTCATAATTGCCACAATCAACAATTGTTTGAATACAGCTGTCGATTTAAAAAGAAAAAACTCTACGCTCCACGATTATCGCAAAATCATGTAAAAAGATGTGATTTTCTAAAAAAAAGAATTAAAAAAAGAGGAAGAATGATAAATAAATAAAAATTTACAGAACCATAACATTTTTTAATTTTAGGTACTATTTTAACAAGTATCACGAGCACAAATTCTTCGCGTATTAGGAAACAATAATCGAATTGGCTACAACTCTTGCCAAACTCAATTATTATCTTCGCGTGCATGGATTTGCGCATTTGTTCACATATGCTACCTCGCTGTCTATCTACCAGAAGAACTATTCTCGGCGGAATAATCGTTCTATACGGGAAACAATTTAGGATATACATATTGACAATTTAAGATATATATGTATACATATTGATTTGCTCGGAAGTTCGATTTGGCGTGAGGAGTACGATTCCCAAGAGTATAGCTTTTACGATATGTGTAACGTACTTCTACAAATCCAACGTTTCAGTACGCAAAAACATTTCCATCGTAATAAAAATCGAAGGAAATCGTTCTATATACATCTCGCGAACGTCGAAGCGAAATATCTTTCGAGTATTTCTCAGTTTCTTCTTCTTTTTCTTTCGCCACGTATAGCGGAAAGAAAATGATCGGATTACATTAGGACGGATATTTTAACGGCAGAAGAATTTTTCTGCCGCTCGGGACCGAGTTTCTTCGCTAAAGCGATTTACAGGAGCTCAAGGGTCAGCTACCTGAGCGTACTTTTCTTTTCTTCTTTGTTTCTTACTGATAAAATAGCTTTTACGTGTAGACACGTTCTTATACTTGATCGTGACTGTCGATAGTCACTGCCTTCATATCACTACGCACGTCGACGGATTTCTCCGCCACATCGTCGCCACGTTTTTTATTATTCACGTAAAAACGTAGACTTCTATGCGCTAGCCGCGTACACTTTGCATTTTATTCGAATTCCTTCGCGTCGCATGCATTTTGCATTCCACCGTCGAAGCGCGTCTTGATAAAGCTTCGTCTTGCCTCCATTCCATTTTCCATATACAATTCTTTGCGCTTACATAGCATATTATTTGCTAGGAACTTTGTCGGTTTCTCTTAAAATACAATTTGAGTATATGCAGGTCAACGCAGTTTACATCAATATATGTTTTATATAATAATTCAATTTTCTAATTATGGTATGTGTATTTTAATATTAATTCATATAATGCAATTAATTAGATTCCCCGGGGGGATACTGCATATGCACATGTTAAAGAGTAATTATTTCACGCAGCTCGGGATTCTTAACAAGCTGAAGATGACTCTTCTTTTCAAACGTGTATACATGCGTTTTCCTGCGATTGGACCTCGTAGGACGTAATCTATGTAGGACAAGCCGGTGGCCTGCGTCATAATCAGAAGCCCGTATGATTACCAGACCGACGACGGTGAGGAATCAGTATCACCTTCGCCGCAAGGTCTTACCTCCCGCCATTTGCTTATCGCTGCTGGCGCTTGTCAACCCGAGTCAAACGTTTCTCTTTCGAGTGTAGTAATAGTCAATGGTCCGGCGAGAGACGAGCACATCGGTGTCGTACAAAAAAGACCGAAGGGCGGAAGTCTCGCCCCGCTCTTCAAGTTTCCTTGAAGTTACCTTTTCTCTTTAGCTTCGAAGTTAAGCACATCCTCGACTACAACGAATCGGAGAATGAGAGAGGCGGAGCGATTGTATCGATCGTTATTAGGCTTTTATTAGACGGAAGTGTCGTCGTATGCCTCGCAAAGGGCGCATCCGTGCGGGGGGTCGTGTTAACTTAAGTGAAAATACCACTGAGTGGTCCAGCCGAGGGAGACTGACCACCACCTTCTGCTCGGTTCCCGTGCAGGGATCTTTTAGCGAGTCTGATCGTGGAATTGGCTGAAAGAGGATCTTTACGCGAGATACTATGTATCTACGTCAAAATAAATCGTACCGTGCTTCTCGGGTAATTTAAATACCGGTGGCGCGTGGGAAAATTACGTAGGAAAGAACTTATCCAAGAAAATTATTATAAAAAGGATAGACGGTGGATGTCATGTGCCTGTGGATTATACGTGCAACGAAAATCAATATTATGAATCAAAAAAGTATATAACAACATATATATATGATATTTTTTTTTAACTAGCCCAAGTACCAGGATACAATTAACGGACGGTGTGAATGAAACTCGATAAGCACTGAAGCGGACATCCTTAAATAGCGGATGCGGCACTATCGCGAATATCCTCGACATGTGTAACTGCGATATTTTAGTATTTTAACAGCTCTGCATGACGAAGTGCCGTGTTGAAACCGTCGTGGACGACGAGGATAATTATAATTCTTGATATTCGATAACGTTTTGACGAATTGAATTTTCAATTTTTGCTATAATTTTTAAAAGAAAAACACTACTTTATTGAGTATCTCTAGTACCGTCGAAAGAAACGAAAATCTACACAATGGAGACTCGAGATAAGTCGACAGAGTGGGCTTTATTGTTCCCTTTGAAGGCGGGGCTGTTTGCTATGAAGTCATCGTTATCTTCAAAAAGTGTGAGTCGTGGCGAGAAGGAAAGTAAGGAGAGACTCTCGAAGAAAAATCTTCGCGAGCCGCGAGCGAAAATACGTCGAGGATCATCTTTGTCTGATCTAGATAAGCTTCAGAATAAGGCAATTCTACCAGATGTTGTCAAGTCGACGGAGCAATGCTCTGAGTCGCTTCCACATTCGCCTGCTTTATCCCGAACAAACCTTCAGCTGGGCAGCAGTAGCGTGAGAGGCAGTATAGGTGATTTGATGAATATGAAGAAATATGGTGGATCCACTTGGAGCGTACGAAGTGAGACTCTGATTGCAAAAGCCGTGCCGTTGAGCACAGTAACGATGAAGCAGAATTCACCGAATTCAATCGAAAAAAGCATGGAGGATGATCTCGAGGACGAGTTGCAGGACGAGTTTCCGATCTCTGGAAAGGCATTAACTTGCGCTCAAAGAACTCAGAGACTCAGCAGACTGATCAAAAAGCAGAGGCGAATAATGGTTTTTAGTCCTAGCGTTCTGCAGAGAGATGTGGTAAGTCACCGTCGGTCAAAACGGGGATTGGTACATTATTTTCTACAGCAATAATTCGATATATTTGTTTAAAAATAAACATCAGCACCTATTTTTATTAACAGAATTTAAAATTGGGAAGTAATTTATTACTTGTAACGAGGTTAGAATTATATTTATTTTTTTTTAGTAACTGTAACTTAATCTTTCGTTCCTTTTTTCTATCTTCGTCTATAATTATAATTTAACTGAATTATAGTTTTTGGCAATTAATAATTAATTTAAATTACTTTTATAGTTATATATTTTATATTAAACTTACTCATTAACGTATAGACTGAATTAAAATAAAATGTTCAGTGAGAAATCAGTGATTATTTTTTTGTGATTAGAATTTATTGTGTGTTTTTCTGATAATTATCACACACTCTGTAAATATTTGCATTAGGAATTAAGCTAAGACGTTTTTAATATGTAAATGCGTCTTAATATTGATTACGTAGTTTTAATCTCAAGTGTGTATATTAATTTGTCATATATAATATAGCATATAATCAAATGTTTAATACAAGTAAAATAATTTAGGATCATTAGAAATGTTAGAAAAGATTCTTATATTTAAATTAGCAATGCAAAAAATTACAAAAAATTAACAGAAAGATAATTGAAAAGTAACACGTTACAGTTATAGATATTTCCCAATCCTGACTCTTTATAAATCATTTCTAGCTCAGTCTGTTAAAATTGCCTGTTTCAATCAGCGAGGTTTTGATAAGTAGAACCTTTGTAGTGGTTACGGGATGAAAAGCGAGCAAAAGGTATTCTCAACCATATTTGCACGGATTAAATACGCCATTTTACCAGTGACGCTAACAACAAAATGCACTGGTTTACACGACGAACAAGTGAGGTTACAAGAGTCACGCGTCCACATTTTTCTCTTGCCACTCGCGCCACGTACGCGCTTTATTTCTTGACGGATTACTAGCGAGACCACGGACAAGAGGGCAAAATGGAGAGAACCATTTGCTCAGCAAGATGGTTTATTTTATTGTTTTTATAGCGCGCCGAGCAGTACGACTCCAGACTCGATTTTTATTGAACCGATAATTTATCGGGCTGAATATCGACTCTATTCATGAGTTGTCCCTCTGCGATGTGCACGCAATCGCGATCGAAGAGAACAGCTTCCTTGATCTCATTGTCGGACAAAGAGAAGAGAAGAGGGATATATACTTCGTCGTTGCTTCTGTTGAATTCGAAACAGCTTTTGCCTTCGTGATGACAGACACTTACAGGACTTGAAATATTCATGATACATTCGCGTCGCCTATACGTTGCAGGACTTATTGTTAGATGCTTCGTATCCTACGCGCGCGGTCATCACGAGGTGTTTGCTTTGCCTGCTTGTTATTTGAGACGGATGCTAACGAGAGCATGTAAAATGAGAGCGCAGCGCGCGAACGTTCTCGTTCACCTCTGCATTATCGATGCCCCGTGAAATATTGCGGTAAATTCCGGTTGTACTCGCCGATGAAGTTTTCTAAACGTTCATGAAATACGAACAGTCATTTCTGTACAATTTTCATGCAACGAGATAATGCGCCGTAATTTAGACTGGTGCATTCTACGCTGTAGTCCCGTTAAAACATATTATTGGAAACGTTGTCGTAGATATCCGTCGTGCTATTTCTGCCGTGTAAAGTTTTCCCGTCATTTTCTGTAACTTCGCCTAACAGAGTCATGAACGTTACTTCGACAAGTAATGAGTTAAAGAAAACGCAATTTCGAAACGTGTGTTTCATGCAAATGTCATTTTGCCTATGTATGTATATGTCGTACGACGAATAAGTAATTCGGAGAGAATTTTTATTGAAGGCTTTTTCCTATATATAAAGTTATTTGATTTAAAATCAAGTGAATTTATTACATTGTCGAAAATGTTTGATTCAACATTATTTTGTCAAAATGTAAATTGCTTAATTATTCAACGCAGTACGATTAAATGGCTTTCTCAATTTAAAAGATTGTTTATTATCAAAGTATTTATCAAAGAACTCTCTCTCTCTCTCTCTCTCTAGCTTAATTTACTTTCAGTGTCGATAACCGTCAAATAGTCAATCGATTGTGGATTAGTCAATCTTATGGTTGCCCTAGTGCTCAGCTTACACGGTGTGGGTAATCCTCTGGATGCTCGTTAACGTTCTCGTTGATTGACTTACGCTATTAGTCGGTTGCAACAATGACAAATGAACTTCTCACCAGCGATTCAACTGAAACAGAAACGTAAGCGTGTTCTTATCTTCCTGCGCGATCCAACAGGGAGTAACACGTGTGTGTTCTAAATCCTTTCTCAACTGCATTCAGCTTTTTTTTATTTAATTTAGCAGTATTTACTTTTATATATTACTAGTAGGTCAACGAATACAATTACGTCTTGGAAAAGGTCCAAATGCCGTTGAAAAAGGATTTATTGTATGACTTCGTATCTGTTCTTCGGGTAACCGAGCGACACAGGCGGTTTCCTTTCAATTTGAGATTTTGTATTTACGGAGAAGATTATAAAAAGAAATTAAAAGCGGGGATCTTCGTCCTTTGAGGCAGTCCTATATTCGTTGAACCAGGCCAATTGGTACTGGTCCAAACGCTTTGGAAACGTTTCCTTTTATCCGTCTCGTCAAGCAAACGAGGCATCGACCCTTCCATTTGCCTCACCTTTTTATCTAGTCCGCTTCGCTTCCGGGCAAGTCGCGATTCTCGTAAAGATTTTTCCGTACGATAGTCTCAAAGATACGCGATCATCAAAAGAAGTGAATTCGAAGCTGCGATTCAATCCGGCGTCGTGTTCGAGAGGAACGAGCTTTTTCTATCAATTCCCATAATTTGCATCGCTTGCGAAGCAGATTGTAAAGCTGTTGAAATGCGAAATAAATTTTAATGTTACATGACGCTGCCATTTCCGTGATTTACTTGACCGGTATAGCACTCATCGATTTCCGTTATTTGTATATGTATCGCATATATGTGTACGTTAAGTCGTAAAATGCATCTCTAGGCAAGCCTCTTAAACTGTTAAATAAATTCCTGTTATTCTGTCTCTCTCTTTTACACAGACACAATGTGATCTAATCAGCGAACCGTCGTCGTAGTCGCGCACTATCGTGCGATTTTATCGTGCTCAGTTTTATAGCTTCTCTCTTACTAGCCAATTTATACATATAATTAGATTAGAATATATACATATATTTATACGATAGTTGAAAGCAGTAGAAAAAATTCACGCGATTCAAAGAAAAAAAAAGGAGATTAGTCCAACTGATACGAGTTTGACACGACGCAAACTACGATTCCTGAGCCGGCTATCATGAAACGTTAAATTACATTTTTCATCAGTCACGTTCTACTATGGTATCGTTCTAAGAGGGTAATCGGCCTTGGTATCATTTACGATAATGAGCAAGTTTATCACGTGAATTAATATTTCGGTTGACATCAATCTTGTTGACCATATATTTTGTAAACGGCAGTTTGCAAACATTTCAAGCTCGGATCTGCTAGTCTGATTCTCGAACTTACGACATCTGACGTACCGCGGAATGAGGTTAATATCCTATAATTTTCTCTCCTCTGTTCACGAGTTATTTTCCTTTATGACAACACTGATAAGATTAGTTGATAAAACAAGCACTGGGAAAAGGTACAGAAATATTTTCCATCACAATTCATTTCTTGTAACAACTTAAAGTCCTACCGTTTTGAATTATTAAAATATAATAATGTTTTCTCAATATACTGAAGGGCAAATTTGTCCTAGAAACGAGCTTGTAAAATATTTTAGCTTTACACCGGAAATTGCATGAGAATTGTTAATGTGATTCTGTTGCGACGACATTGTGAAGTTAGAACTATAAATAATTCTGTTTTAATTAAAATATGACATGAATAATGTATGATAAATGATATAAAATACTCTTATTGTCCTCGTAGAATATTATTTGAATACATTTACGAATAAATATTAATTATCTATAATTAATGTTACAAGAGACGAAGTTAAGTATACGTACGTAATATTACGAAGGACAAAAGTATACGTATGTAAAGTATATGTATGTAATTAACATTTAATGATACCTTTATTTATAATCTTTGAAGCTATCGATTAATCTCATTAAAGAAAGTCTTAATAAAATTTAGTGCACACACTATACACACTTACATATATAAAATACGAATCAAACATATAAAGCGATGGATGAATGAAGGACTTAAATAGAAGAAAATATGCCGGCTCTTTTTCATCATGAAAATGAAGATGGTAATATGGATTTATGTTTTACAAACAACAAAATTGTTGTCACTATTTAAAATGTGGTTAAAGAAAAAAATTGCAATCTACAAGAGTGCTGTTAGATGATTAAAAATATGTATGTGTAAAACAGTATTAATTCTTTTTTCTTTTGTGTAACAGTTCAACGAGTATATAGTTTATTCTGAAATAGTAAATTAGTATGTGCAATTTATATTCGGAGATATATATATATATATATAGTATATATTAAATATACGCGATCTTAAATTACTGTCATAGTTTTAAAGTACCATAGTTTATTAAATTCCTAAATGATTTTGTAGCTTAGATGGTCTTCATTTGCACACTGTCGCACAATTTTCAATCTGAGCTGTAGCTGGATAGAAATTTAGTATATCTCGGATAGCTTTATTTGCGCAACGAAGATTATCCGGCCTTCTTCCTCATTGTTCTTCGGCTCGGAAGAGATCGCCATTTTGCTATGGAATATCAGAGACATTTTGAACGTCAGATTCAGAATTCATGTTTATTCATGAATATCAAGGATATAATTAAAATCACTGTCTTTCTCTCTCTCTCTCTCTTTCACAACCGCATGTTCAAATACAGTTAATTGTAACAGTAATGGTTACTATTCCTTTTTCTAAACATCCGAGTAGCAAGTTTCTTTAATATTGTATTTTTATGAGATCCTTGATCAAATTAGTCGCTAATGAGATTTCTTTCTGACCATGGCTGGCCTTTTTTACTTTCTGTTATCTTCATTATCGCGTTTCTTTTTAACTAAATAAAGTACAACTTTTCTAAACTTTAATACGGATAAAATTTATTAAATTTATAAATAAATGTATTTAATTATTATACTATTAGTGTTATAAAATATTAATACAATATTCTTTTTTCTGTTACAGGTGAGTATTATAATTTTGTCAATTACCCCGATAATTGTACTGATACTGATGCGACATGCGACATTCCTGATTACGACAGGTGAGTTCTATTTCCACATAATGCTCTGCCATTAATCATTAGCGTATTAAAACATATTATTATTATTACAATCGTTGATATAAATATTTGCGCCTTTCAAAAATTTTCAATATGTAGAAATAACGAAAATGTGCAATTGCGTGCTAATAAAATACTGCGTTTGATTACATTATCATTTAAAGTATCGATTAATGATACAAAGCAAAGCTTGACTTCCTCTGCGTAAAATATTTTTTACTACAAAAGAATATGTAGAATAAAATTATATAAAATAAGCATAGAATAATTATAGGATATAATTATAGTATGTATTAAAAAAACTCGTAAGATGATTTTTATTAGTTCAAGTATCATAAATGTTAAATGTAATGAGAACAATATGATTTATATTATTGCCATTATTGCCACATATTTTCCTTCCATTATATTATACTCTTTGAAATCTTAGAAATGCACTCAAACTACTTACTTTCTGCTATTACGATCAGAACAATCACTGTTTAAGCGTGTGTAAAGCTTGACAACCGGCCATAGGTATTAGAATATATCGGTCGAGAGTGTGCAGAGAGAAATGCGTGAATACATAGTCGTGAGTGTATGCGCGACAAACGAAGCAAGGCCAACGATTAAATATTCATGAGACGTAGCGCAATATATACCTGATATTTACTTTTATCGTAGAAACTTTTCTTTTTATCGCTAATAATACAGCATTCACTATGAAATCGTAACGATTTTACATTTTAAAATCGTTGGAAATCATGGCAAATTTATGCTTTTACGTGCGAAAAATGATTCGCGCTGAATTTTTATAATTCCATGTCTATTCCGATAGCTTTCTGTCAGCTTGGTTGGTTACTTTTGAAAGATTGATTGTAATTGCCGAAGAATACTGAACATTGATTACAGAATAAAATCGCGATTTAATACCGACTATGAATCGATCTCTTGGGTAAATGTAGGAGGAAAAGGGAAACTAAGAAAATATTGACGAACATTGAAAGGGAGCATCGATAGTTTGATCCTAAAGTGCTCGCAGTTCTGAAAGGGGTCAACAGTGTCATGTAACCACCGTACAATGGTTCACTTAAATAGTTTCGAAATTTGATATATTCGGAGGGTAGCGTGTACGTCGACTAAGACTGATAAAATCCGCATTTTCTTCGTGTTACTTTAAGGGTTGCCTCCACCTTTTGTATACTCGCCACGAGTGAGTATCTTTGATATATATCCGCCTCTTTTATATCTTGAAAAGAAAACGAGGATATACAACATGTACAACGCATAAATATTTAAAAAAAAAACCGAGATACTTAGAAATGCTTTTACTAAATGAGAAATGTGCGCAAATTTGTGCCTAAAATAAAGAAAAAATAGAATAAAAATTTAAAATCAGAATAAAAAATTGAAGAAGAATATTTTAAATGTTAATCTCATATCTTTGTGTTGACGGGATCTTTACCTATTTAAGGTAATAGCAGTCTATATGTGTTTCAAAACAAGAAAAAAATAGCTAAATCAACTTTCAATATCGGGTTTGAAGTTTGAAGAATGGTTTTTAAATCCGGTATTATGAAACGAGGTCAAGCGTATTTCAGGGGAGTTCATCTGAAGAAGTACTCATGTTCGAAAAATTGGAAGTTTGCTAATCATTGCTTTCCAGCAAGCGATAGTGTAACGCATTAATCATGTCATCTTTGTTTAACATTAAGAAACGACAAAGAAGTAATGATTCACTACGTTACACTCATATGTGTCTCTTGCTGGAAATAAGCAAGATCCTATGCCTCTCACTCGGCGAAACGTACGGATCCTACCGATTTATCTCGCGCAATTTGATCGAAGACACATTACAGTGGGTACACATATTGGATTCTCCCTAATGGTAACTGTACGCGTAAATTCCATCAGACTACACTTGATGTAAACCGAATACACGAGTTTACTCTGTTTTACCACGTCGCACCGATCGATTTATCGAGCCTATAAAGTAAATTTAACGTAAACAGAGACTTGACATATGGTACTTTCAATTTATCTTAAGAAATAGTTGAGGACATTATCTTGAACGATCCAAATCCATCTTTCCCGTAACAATTTGTCAGGTCATTTGATCGAGGACACGGAATATCGAGGCGTTTTTTCCCCTTTTTTTTTTGTTGGGGACCCTCCAAGAGAAATGGCATGATTTTTTATTGTCGTCGTAATACAGTTACGGTGGGTTGCACAGAACACATAAAAGTTGACGTTAGCAATCAAGGTAGGGTCGGACCGTGTTGTTCGCGATTTTTGTGAATGGCTCGACTATTGTGGCAGACGAGCGTTCGCGATGGGAAGTTGGTAGTTACATCCGGTATCGAAAGAGCGACAGTGCGGTATATACCGTTAAATTCTAGTTGATTGAGGAGCAAGTAACACCCGAATGCTTTGAAACTAAACGAGCAAACCGGGCTTCGCTAGCCGTAAACACCTTGCGGCTTTGTGAAGCCCACCTTCGATATAAGGAAGGAAGGAAGGAAGGAAGGAAAGCTTGAGGCAACGCCGTCGTTATTACCAGAACCAATAACTTCCGTCGCGTTGCAATATAAAAGAAAACGAGACACCTTACGACCTGCCAACATATGTTCATAAAGTCAACGGTGAATATTTCCGCGGTAATGGCTCCCTTGGAGTCATACGTGAAGATTAAATAGGTAAAGATCGATATGGAACGAACTGATACGTTAAGTTACGAATGTATTTCTCTTTCTCTTAGAAAATCGTTATTTAAAATTATATAAAATCGCACGACACAATCCGCGTTACATGCACGCATGTCGCATATAATAATTTATAGATTTTATCTTGTATTTGATAAGTTATTTACAGTTAACGGTCGCGTGATGAAACTTTTGTATTAATGAGACTGATTAAAAAAGAATTAAAGTATCACGATATATATATATATATATAAGTGTGATCTATCGAGTTATAAAGACTTGAGAGAAATGGAGAGAAAAGACGATCTATAAGATACATCTATCGAACAACATTACGTTGCATAGCCTCAGCTGTTCGTTTTATTGCTGGTCATCGAGGAGTTCATCGATAACCTCGAATTGCCGTTACGAGAACTACCACGTAAGCATCGGACAGAGGCGGTGCTTTGCGAGACAATCGACCGATCGAACTAGAACAGAGCGACTGAGTGACCGAACTTAGACAATTTACTTGCTTCGAAGTAATCGGGAGGACGGACCATGTATTACTAGTTAACGTCATCAGTTAACATGACGTGTTTCGAACTGATCTCAACCTATGTAAATGACTTCTCGTAGGTCGTCGTCAACAGTTTCCGTAGCAAGATACTCGGGAAGCTTCAAAGATCATTTGATTAAAATTATCTAATTGGAATTCTCCCGAGGACGACGCATTTCTAGGCTTTACGTCTCGTCGATCAACCGACGAAATTATCGACCGATGGGAAGTTATTTTTGTTATTACCTTTCCATTCTCTCGCACGACGAGATACTTTGGTATGCACATTATCGGAGCGAAACTGAATATAACTCGTCCGATGGGATAGGTTAAAATCATCTGTTAAAGTTTCGCAACGGTCTCGGACCTCTCGGACCTCCAACTTCGATCGTCGCAGAAATAGTATCATCCAGCGACGGTGAGGTGGGAGGCGAAATCTGTAGATCTCGTTTTGAAGTCATAATGTTATTTCAACGAAATTATAATGCTTGATATTCTCCTCAGCTACGAGGAATTTTATTTTTGTTCGCGAATGAGGTTATCAAAAATCATTAAAGATCGTTCAGGTCCTATTTTCAGTACGGTCTCTATAATGAAACGATAGTTACGATATCGCTCGTCGTTAAGTCGACCTGACGTAGCCGCGACGAGGAATAATCTGTAATCGATAAATCTTTCAGTAGCGCGATTTCTGTTCCATAATCTTCTCCGACCATTTATCTGCTCCTCATTGAAATTCATTCGTTCACGAATACATTCGGTCCACACTCGTTTTGATTTGAATACAGCTCTTACATCTCGAGCGACGCGGATCACTGCGTTGCAACGCCGTCCGATCAGTACGCGAGCAAAAGAAGCCGTACGAGAAACCCTCGTTGTGATTTACGAGGTCGCGCGGAAGTTATGACAGGGGGCTTGTTCCTCATGCATTTAGTTCCCGTTTAATTAATGATTTTCGTCGAGCTGAGCATGCGCGCGCCTAGTTAATTCGACGTCTTTACGTCTTTACGATCGTTGTCTGCGTTCCTTCTCGCTTCATCTGCTACACAATCTTTTCTTCATTCCATCTTAGGAAATATATTGCATGTATAAAGTGTACGTGTAGCTCGGTGTGCTATTAATATTAATGAAATCCCCTTCGAAATTAAAATAATATAATTACCATGACTTTAACGTTCTCTGCTTTCTTCTTACTTTGCAAAGGAAGCTTAGCTTTACATTAATGTAAATTCCTTGTTTTTCATTCTGAAATTGTTTATCGATACGTTCATTTTGTAATAAATGATATCGCTCAGCTCTTTTACTCTCTGAAGATCTCATTAATTATCATTATGTCTTCACTGCTTCGGACAGCAGAACAAGCCCTCGCGCGCTTCGAGACAAGTTCTCTAATCGAGAACAGGTGTTTCCATGTACGCGCTCGCTTACCGAGGATTTCGGTGTAATTGACGGGCGTCGTCGAACCCACGCCCGATGAGCAACAAAGTGCAGACGAGCGTGGAGTCTTAAGAAGTGGAAAGTAAAAAGAGCAACTGACGTGAAACGAGCTCGTTGGAAGTGGGACGGTGAGATTTTCTCTAACAACACGTTCTAAGACTCGTGCCTTGCCGGAAATAACAGGGCGGCCGACAGTTGTCTTTCACGTTTCGCACATTTCATTTTATTCCTTGACTTTCTTTCCGCTTCTTATATTGAGTCTCTCGTCTTTTCAACTCGTCTCGGAGCTTCTCACGAACGTGTCTCGCTTTCTTGACGAGTCGCACCGATTTCATATGCTTTAAGTGCTTTCCACTGTAGGGGTTCCGAACTTCCGAAAATCCACTACCCATCGCGTTTTACCTCAAATTCTAATCCCTACACTCAACAGAGTTTCTCGCGCGTTTACTTCGAAATGATCGAATTGCATTCCCGTCGAGGAACATTTTAGTTTCTTTTGTCGCATTTGTGTAAGATGCGTTGTAAAGTTTCTCTCTCTCTCTCTCTCTCTCTCTCTCTCTCTCTCTCTCTCTCTCTCTCTCTCTCTATTTTTCTTTCTTTTTTGTTCAATTTATTTATTATTTTCTAGTCCCGAATAAACATGAAACTGAACGGCTGACTCGAATTTTCCAAATAATAGAATAAGCTTGTTGCATTTTGACCTCTTGGCCATTTTCCAAGCTGCACATAATTCGACCGTTCCGCTTGCTAAGTAATTGAAGGGGGCGTCCAATCGATCACGATCAAAATGCTGACTTGTCGCTGCCGGCAGACTGGAAAATAAGCGAGACAATTAATTGTCATCGGTCGGAAGCGAGAATGTCTAACTTACGATTCTATTATGGACAACAAACCTCGCTCGAGTTGCAAATAATGCAGCATTTGAATGACCGCATAGTATTTTTGCCCGAGTCCATTCATCATGCAATACTTCCGAGTATCTTGTATTGTTTTCCTGTATGAAAATTGGCACGGCATATTCATTTTTACTCTTACCTTTTTGAAATGTTTGTTGAATGAAAAGAGAGTGCTGAAATTAAAGTTGACTGAAAAAATGGTCATAACCATAAACTAAATTTTTATATACTGTTAAACGAATGCAAACAACTAAATGCCAATTCCCTATTGTATTGGTAGTTCATATATAAAGTAAGTTTAGTAAGTTTAGCATTTGAGATCACATAAAGCTACATTGAGTTATTTTTGGGACCAACAATATATTTTTTGATAAAACTATAAATATAATTATTACTATTAACGTTGTAGCAGTAATAAAAGCGGCCCCTAATAATTATTTCATCATGTAATTATATAGCCACAAATATTGAACACTTTTCTTTTATACGAGTAATTGGTATAAGAAATAAAATAAAGAAGGGAAACGGAAGAAGACGTGTGTAGATTTATATAAGAGCTTTCAGAAAGTTTTACTCGAAAATCGCGTCCGCGATTAGAGAGAGACAGAGATTGCCAGAACTTACTTACGCCTGCTTGCTTCATTTTCAAGACGGTTAATTTCCTCTGCTTTTGTAATTTATTCTTCGACTCTGTTGCAGAACAACTCACAGTACTTCGTGTTGCTGCACTGTGCTTCCGACTTTACCTCAAGCCGGAATCAAGTAGAACGTAGTTTCTTTTCCTCTCTATTTCTCTATCTTATCATATTTTTCTTTTTTATCGGACGCTCCCATATTCTTCAATCGCCTTCCAAACTTTGGGTTGACCGATTTTCTATTTTATAACCGATATTCAAATTTTGTTTGTACATAGCAGCGAAGATCTCTATACTCAAGTACGATATTTATCCGCTATAAGCCAAGCTCCGTTTATACTTATACTTTTTCTTTTATTGTCGGAAATTGTAATATGAACGCGTTCGAGAAAATCAGCCTGAGGAGATCCTAAAGGAACTTGCAATACCTGTGCTCTTATAGCACGAATTATTTCTATTTTAGCTATTTTATTCCTAATGAATGTATCGAATGTATAGAATATATCTCAATAATGCAATTTGACAAGCTAAATGGATTGCATAATAACCCAATTGTAGAAAATAAACGCTCGTGGCTGTTAAATCGACTAAACCAACCTGAAACCGACAACGATGATAAATAAAGCGGAACCTACAGCACAAATTTAGATAAAAATTAATGACTGGCTTTGATAAAGTAAAACGTTACCTTCACAGGTTTACGATTAATTATCCATCTTTTGTGAAAATAAACAATCATTTCAGATGCCTAAGTAATAACTGTCCCACAACAAGTGGCTATTGCTTTCGGCTTTATAACCGGGTTATCAGCTTCATCGATTGCTTCGTCGACGAGTAATTAATCAACTACGATAAATTTGATTTACATCTGTACGAGAAAATTTTATGATCTTGTGTGTGTTACACTCTCGAAAAGTATATAAAAAGTTTTTTACATCGTGCACGAGTTTATGAGAAAATATTATTCTTTAATTTTATGGATAAACACATTTCCATCTTGAGTTTTATGCTTCCTAGGCTGCATGGAAAATGCATCCCGCAGAAAAATGCAATCACACAGCACCGAGCTATAAACATAATGGGTTGTCACCCGTTTTTTTTTTTTTTTTTTC